TCTGAAGGGAAATTTTATTTAGTGGTATTCTGAGTAAGAAGATAATTACCTATCCATGCATGAATTAATGGAGTAAGAAGATGTGGTACCCACAAACACACTCAGAATGGCATGAATAGAATCTTCTCATTTGTTACAACATGGGTGGATCTTGAGGATAGTATGCTAAGTGAAATGAGTCAGAGAGAGACAGTGTACAATTTCACTGGAGTGTGGAATCTAACAAACATAAATACAAAACAAACATAAATCATAGACTTCGGAAAATAGATTGGGGCCAGAGCAATAGTACAGCTGGTAGGGCACTTGCCTTGCATGCTGCCCACCCAGGTTTGCATTCCAGTATCCCATATGGTTCCCTGAGCACTACCAGGAGTAATTCCTGAGTGCAGAGCCAGGAGTCAGCCCTGAAAATCACTGGGTGTGGCTCCAAGCAAACAAAAAATCCCAAAGCACAGGTGTAACAGGGGTGGGCTAAATGAAGGGAATTGAAAATGACAAAACTTCCAATTGTAAAATAAATAGGTCATTGCTGTAACTTGCATCATGGGGACTACAATCAATAAAAGTGGATGACAAGGGCTAGGAACTAAGCTCAGCGATGGCATGAATGTTTCAGTAGGCAAGCCTCTTAAGCCCTGGCCCTAAATTTTTGTTTTTAAATCAGAGTACAATAATGAAACACTTTTTTAAAATAGGGGTACACATAGAATTCAGAATTTCTGTAAGTTGCAAACTGAGCATCATAATATTTATTTAAAAGTGTTGGTTTTGGGGCCCCATCTAGTGGTGCTTAGGGGCTACTTCCAGCTCAGTACAAGAGGGACCATATGGTGTTGGAGATAGAACTCAAGCCTCCTACTTGCAAATCATGCATTCCAGCCAGCTGAGTTGTCCTCTGTCCCCAAATCTATTTCTTATTAAATACATATGGAGTCATTTATGCATAGCTCTGTCATGGTAATACCTCATCTAAGTTCTTTTTATTTTTTTTTCTAAGTTCTTTTTAAAAGAGTCTCTTCCAAAAGTGGAATATTATTGGGGCTGGAGTGATAGCACAGCAGGTAGGGCGTTTGCCTTGCATGCAGCCAACCCAGGTTCAATTCCCAGCACTCCATATGGTCCTCTAAGCACCGCCAGGAGTAATTCCTGAGTGCATAGCCAGGAGTAACCCCTGTGCATCTCTGGGTGTGACCCAAAAAGAAAAAAAAAGTGGAGTATTATCTTACTTTTTGGGCTACACCAGGTGATGCTCAGGGCTTACTCCTGGCTCTGCACTCAGGGATCACTCTTGGTGAGCTTGGGGATCATATGGGATGCTGGGATATGGGAACCTGGGTTGGCCACATGCAAGGCAAATGCCCCACCCACTCATCTACTGCTGAGGCCTTTTCTTCTTTGTTGTCCTCTTTTGCTTTTCCTCCTCCTTCTCCTCCCCACCCTAACACCAGTAGGTGTGGCTCCCACGGACAGCAAGAAGGAGACACTTTCATTTTGTATAACGGAGCGATAGCACAGTGGGTAGGGCGTCCGCCTTACAAGCGGCCAACATGGCCAACCCGAGTTCGATTCCTCCGCCCCTCTCGGAGAGCCTGGCAAGCTACTGAGAGTATTCGATATGCCAGACACAGTAACAACAAAGTCTCCAATGGAGACGTTACTGGGCCCGCTCGAGCAAATTGATGATCAACGGGAGGGCCTTTACCTTACCTTACCTTACCTTACCTTACCTTTGATGCCAGGTAGGTGGGATACTTCCCTGCTTCATGAATCATTTAATAACCCCAATAAAGATCTCCACATTTAGTCACCTGAACTTGGGTGGTATGGGGGAGGTGGAACCACACCAGGCTGTGCTCAGAGCTTACTCTGGCTCTCTGCTCAAGAGTCACTCCTGGTAGGGCTCAGGGGACCATTACGTAGTGATGGAATTGGACCCAGTTTAGCAGCGTGTAAGGCAAGAGCCTTTCCCTCTATACTAGCTCATTGGCCACTCGCTTGAAATTAAACAGGATATTTTTTCCCTCCTCTTCCTCCTCTGCCCTCTCTTGCTTCACAGCCCCCTCCTCTGCCCTTGAAATTTACATGGTGTTTTTTTCTCCTGCTCTTCCTTCTCCTCTTCTTTCTTTTGGCTTCAGTGGTAGGGGGCTAGTACGGACTCTGCTGGGGTTACTCACCACAGTTTTCCAGGGACCATGCAGTGCTAGGGATTAAACCCAGACTTCTACATGCAAAACTTGAGTTCCTGCATTTGGGCCATCCCGCCCCCCTCCCCCAGCCCCCTTAACAGGAGCTTATCTTACCAACTTTATTTCCTTCTTTCTTTTTCTTTCTTTTTTTTTTTTTTTTGCTTCACCTGGAAATTCTCAGGAGTAACTGATGGCAGTACTTGGGGGACCATATGGGATGCCAGGGATGGAATGTGAGCTGAGACATGCAAGGCAAGGACCTTATCCACTGTACTATCTCTCCAGCCCCTCTTCAAATTTGAAAACACCATGTAAATTTCCAGCCCCTCCTTCAAATTTGCAGTACCCTATGAATTTCTTTAGTTGGTGAGGAGGAAGTACCAAGGATCAAACCCATGATGGCTCAACTTAGGGAGAGCCTAAATTAAATTTTTTTTTGTTTCGGGGCTACACGTGGCAGTGCTCAGGATTTATTCCTGGCTGTGTGCTCAGAGAGTACTCCTGGTGGGCTTGAGGGACTCATATAGGGGTGCTGGGGATTGAACCTGCTTCAGCCTCATGCAAGGAAAATGCCCTACCCACTGCTCGATGGCTCCAGCCCCCTCTAACGTTTAACTAAAAAAAAATTAGGATGCTGGAGAAATAGCTTAATGGAATACACCTCATACTTTGCATGCAGGAGGCTCCTCGTTGACCCCCTGCACTGCATGGTCCTGAAAGCATGAGCTCTCTGTACCCCTACTCCAGAGCCAGTAATAGCCCGAGTTATCATTGAATGGTGCCCCCAAATGAAAATAGTAAGGTCAAATTTGACTGGGGAGATAGAGGTAGACAGAACAGGGGTGAAAGGCATGCACTCAATTTGTTTTTTACTCCCTGCTGTTAGGGGTCTCTCCCCAATCCTCTCTTGAGCGTGTCCCCTTGACCTGCAAGGGGCTGTCGCACAGAGGCCTGAGGGCTAGCCAAGCTACCCTCCCTGTAAAGAGAGGGATCACCGGAGAGGAGCATTTCCCTATGCTGCTGTCTCCACAACTGAGAAATGAGCGGGGGTCATGTCAAGAAGTTCCAATTTTATTAGACAATCAGCATGACTTATATAGGCTGGGCTTATAAGGGAGAAATGCAGACGGTCACATAGTCACAGTGGTCAGAACAAACATGAGTTTTCTATAGATAGGGTTATACCTCTCCTGTGTGATTACAATGGTTAAAATGTCATAGCACATCTGCCGGATATGCCCTGTCCCCTGGTCGCATTGACCCACGATAAGTATGCTTGTGGCATTTCAAAGCAGACCAAAAGGGGCTTTTCTCCCAACACCTGCACACCTCCCCCCCCCCCCCCCCCACACACACCAGAAGAGAAATGCAGAGGGAAGCACTAGGCTGAGCTCCTAGCACTGCAGGGGGTGGCCCTGGAACTCCTGAGCACAGCTGGGGCAAAGCAGCAGAAGAACCTTCAATGCTGGTATTGAATCCCTGACCAGGTTGACCACGGACAGCAGAGAGTTCCCCGACCCTTTCCAGCCAAACACAGCTTGGAAGCCTGCCCCGAAGGATCACATTTTGTTAGTACCTTACAGTCTTAATCCCATCTCTTCCCTCTCCATTACCTCAAAGTAGCACTTAGTCTGCACTTTATTATTATTATTATTATTATTATTATTATTATTATTATTATTATTTGGGGACCACGCCCATCAATGCTCAGGGGTTACTCCTGACTTTAGTCAGGAATCACTCCAGGCCGTGCTCCTAGTGACCATATGGGATGCTAAGTACCCAAATGCTCCATGTGCTATGATCCCTCTTTTTGCTTCATCTGCACTTCTAAAATTTTGTTATAAGGTAAAATCCAAAACAAGAATATTGAGAACTTGATTAAAACGAGCAAGAAAACAGTATGGTAATCTTTAAAAAAAAATATCAACAATTATTTCTTTGTGTTTCCTTAAGTGCACAATACACCTCTGGGGCAAATACTGCCGCTTAATAAAATTCTAGGTCAAGTTAGAGTACTGGGAGAGCTCCACAAATTCTCTCTAAACAATAGCTTTCAGCCAAATGATCTGCAATTGTAATAGATAGCCTGGTTCTCTGGGTAAATCAGTCTTGCCTTTTCTGATAAAATAGGTAAGTGGGAAAGCAAGCAACTGGGTGGCAGTGTGTTGTTTTTAATTCTGATTTAATCATCCCAACTAGCTACAGTTTTGATTTTGTGAAGAGTCTAGATCAAGGGACGGGAGAGGAAATACAGTGTGTAGGCGGTAGCTTTGCACGCAGCTGATCTGGGTTCCGTCTTTGGTACCCCATACGGTCTGGTTCCCCGAGCTCAGAAGAGTGATCCCTTGCGCGCAGAAGCAGGGTGAGCCCTGAGTAACGCCGGATGTGTCCTCCCGCAAAAACAAAACAAAACAAAACAAAACAAAAAAAAACCTAGGTCAGACTATGCATCTGAACCACAAAAATAAACTAAACAAAAAACCCACCAAGTTGACCAAGTCGCAGCCGACAAGCTCGAGGGAGCAGCAGGCAGGTGTCCGCATAGCGGGGAACAATAAAGTTGAACCGATTCAAACGGGTCCTTGTCTCCGGGGGCCTGTTGGATATGCCTGTAGAATTCGCGTGCTTAGCGACTCCCTGTTTTCAAGGCTGGTTCCCGCCCTGGTTGTGTTTTTATTTCCCTCTCCCTCTTGCTGCAAAAGTCCCCGGACGAACTGCGTAGGCGTGGACAGGCGGGAAGCGTTTAGAGTGCGGGCGACGTGGGCATCGCGACGGGCAGCCCCGGCGAGGACCCCCGACTCACGTGGAGCCGCGGAGGTGGTGGCCGTGGCGGCGGCGGGGAGACGCCATGAAGCCCAGGCCCGGAGGCTTCGTGGATAATAAGCTGAAGCACCGCGTCATCCAGGTGTGTATTCTGGGCCTCGCAGTGGTCGCCCTCCTCGCCCAGGGGCCCCGCTGGCCCTTCCCTGGGAGGCTCCCGGGTGAAGCCGGGCCATCCGCCCGCCCGCGCCTGTTGACATCTCCCTGCTGCACCGAGGGTGCAGGGCGGGGTTTCGAGGAGGAGCCCGGGCCCGCCCGGTCAGGTCCGGTCCTTCACTCGTGGATCTGTCAGGGCAGCAGCCAGAGACTTTGTGTGCACATCTTCCCACCGCGGAAATTCGCTGACAGGCCCCGAAAGTCCCATGCGGGGCTTGGCGCAGGGCGGGCGGGGTGGGGGGGCGGCATGTAGTTCTTTTATATATTTCTTCTGGTGCAGTCGGTGACACGGATCTGACCTGAGTTTTGGGGGTTTGCACCCTTCCTGCTTCCCCTCCGCCGCTCATATTCATGAGTAGAAACCATCGTGGTACCTTTCTCGCAACGCTGTCGTCGGCAGGCGATCTTTGGGGGAAGAGACGCGATTTTTCCTTGGATTCTAGGAGGGAAATACACCTAGTTTTTCTTATCTTTCTTGGCGTTAAAGTTGCTACCCAGTCTGGCATCCATTCTCTAAATGTTGGCAGCGTCCTGAGCCTCTGTACCCGGGTTGCCTCCTTTATCCTCCCACTGTGCGTGCATCATAGGCCGACCTCATTCTGTCTAGTGCTGTCAGATACTATCTACATATACATGGATCCTAAATTTCTTACCTCCGGGGGAGATCTTATCTTCAAATGCCAGCTAGATCCAGTTCCCTGCTCAACCTGAGTGTGTGACAGCTGTCTTCAACTTCACATCCCAGGAAGCTGCTGCTAGTTCTTTCCCAAACCAGCCTCTTGTTAGTGTTTTGTTTCCCTAAAAGGACTCTGTCCATGTAGTCATTAAAGCCTCAGGCCACGTTGGAGGCTCTTTCAGGGTCAGGAGAATGAGACCCATCATTGTTACTGAGTTTTGGCATAATGAATACACCACAGGGAGTTTGCCAGACTCTGCCGTGTGGGTAGGATACAGCATCTATTAGTTTTTGGTTTATTTGATTTTGTTTCGGAAGAGACCTCTTTTAGTGCTTGGGGGTAACTTCCTAAATCAGAGCTCAGGGTCATTCCCCATGGGTGCTTGGGGGACCATGTGGTGTAGGGGATCCAACTGCAGGGCCCTCTACCTGTCAGGCATGTGCTCCTTGGTCTAGCATTTGTTAGTTTGTTTAAAAGTATATTCCAGGAGCCTGAGTGAGAATATAGTATAGAGGTTTGAATGTTTGCCTTGCCTGCAGCCAACCCTGTTCTGTCCTGTGCATTCTGGTCCTCTAGCTTGCCAGGAGTGATCCCTGAGTTCAGAGCCAGGAGTAAGACCCTAGGACTGCTGGATGTGGCTCCACCAAAACATTAAAAAACAAAACAAAACAAAAAAAACTCCAAGCCAAACTCATCTTTGCCTTCAGTCTTTTTATTGTATTTTGCTTTTTGGGTCACATCTGGCAGGGGTAACTCCTGGCTCTGCACTCAGGAATTACTCCTGGCAGTGCTCAGGGGACCATATGGGATGCTGGGATCGAACCCAGGTCAGCAGTGTGCAAGGCAAACGCCCTACCCGCTGTGCTGTTGCTCCAGCCCCTACTTCAGCCTTTTTAGTTCAATTAATGCTTCCAAGAATCTTTCACTTTCTACTTTTTAAAAAAGGATTAAGACTTTAAAACTCTCTTTATTATTTATTTTGGCTTTGGGGCCACATTGGCAATGCTCAGAGGTTACCCCTGGCTCTACACTCAGGAATTACTGCTGGGGGTGCTCAGGGAGGCAGAGGATCTAACCTGGGCTGGCCACGTGCCAAGCAAATGCCCTATTTTTTTTTTCTTTTTGGGTCACACCCAGTGATACTCAGGGGTTACTCCTGGCTCTGCACTCAGGAATTATTCCAGGTGGTGCTCAGGGGACCATACAGGATGCCAGTGATTGAACCCCAGTCAGCCACGTGCGAGGCAAACACCCTACCTGCTGTACTATCACTCTAGCCCCAAATGCCCTAATCTTGCAGCCTTACCCTGTACTATCTCTTTGGCCCCCAGATTCTACTTTCAAAATTTTTAATTCTGGGCCACACCAGGAAGTGCTCAGGGCTTACTCCTGATTCTCTGCTTAGGAACCACTCAGGGTATAGCTGGGAGGTCTCAGGGATCTAACCCAGGGCATATTCCTTTTGTTTGTTTGTTTGTTTTCTTTTCAGTTCTATCTCTAGCACCATCAGTAGTGATCTCTGAGCACTGCTGATTTTGACCCAAACCTCCAGTATCCCCCTCCCCCATTGGTTTTATTTGTACATATGTATTATTGACTCTCTCTGTGGCTCTCTGTCTCTGTCTCTCTCTGTCTCTCTCTCTCTCTCTCTCTCCCTTTCTCCCTCCCTCCATCTCTTCCTCTCCCTCTCCCTGCCTCCCCCCCCCCCCATATCTGGAAGTGCTGGGTGGTGTGGTCTTTCCTGACTGTGATACTTAGGCTATACTGATGCTTGTGAACTATGGCAGTGTCAGGGTTTGACCCTGGGGCGCCTCCACAAACAGCATGTGCTTCATTCAGCTCCTTGAGCTCTGTGCCTGGCCTCTGTTGTGTTTTTTTTTTGGGGGGGGGGGGGCGGGGGGGAGTTGTATTTGGGCTGCTCTTGACTCAAGTACTTGGACTCAAGGATGGGGACTAAACCTAGACCTGCCACGTGTAAAGCACTTTGTACACTAACCCTGTGGGCTTTCTCCCTGGGGGGCATCTTTTTCATCCCGCATGTTTGGGCCACACTGGCTCACTGGATGTATTCAGGGTTTTCTCCTAGCTTTGTGCTCAGGAATCTCTCCTATCAGTGCTCTGGGAGTTAAAGTTGGATCAGCTCCTTGCAGGGCAAGTACCTTAACCCTATACTGTCGCTCCAGTGCCACCCTCATTTGTTCTTCGACGTGGCTTTTTGCTTCCTGTTGTGGCAGTTAGTGCCTTGCAGTGACAGCTGAATTAACGTGGAAAGTGGAATTGTCTGTAATTTGTAGTTTCTACGATGCCCAGTATTACTGTTCTCTTAACCCTTGGTGCTCTTGCCTTTACTGTGATGTTTGGAAACCTAGGGTGTACTAGGTTCTTGCTACAGCTGTTCTAGTTGTGTTTTTAATTAACATAGTCGTTAATAATGTTAATTGCAGTTTTTATTCCAGACCCAAGAGTTGTTTCTGCATTGTCTTATCATTGAAGAATTTACATTAAAGTATAGCATGTTTGGATAGCTCAATCTCTTTTTTGTTTTGCTTTTGTGCACACTGCAATACTCAGGAATTACTCCTGGCTCTGCACAGAGGAATCACTCCTGGTGGTGCTCAGGGGACATATAGGATGCTGGGGATCAAAATTGGGTCAGCTTCGTACAAAGCAAAACACCCTCCCTGCTGTGCTATTGCACTGCCCCCTCAATCTCTTATTTGTTGATTAAAGTCACTATTTTTGTGTTTAATATTTATCATGTTTGCTATTTCAGTACCTCTCCAGTAACAGATGTGGCAAGTATGTGGACACTGGTGTCTTATCATCTGATTTGCAAAGAATGTACAGGTAAAAATACAGTCTGTAGATTCTACCTAGATTTTCATTCCTACCTTTTTTTTTTTATAAGTGTTCTTTTTGCCTAAATTCCAACAGTTTTTTGGCATTGGTTTATCAGTCAATAATAGATCTGTAGCACTGACCTCCCATTGTTCATTTGCTCGAGTGGGCACCAGGAACGTCTCCATTGTGAGAATTGTTGTTGATGTCAAGTACACCACGGGGAGCTTGCTAGGCTTTGCCGTTCGGGCGGGGTACTCTCTGTAGTTTGCAAGGCTTTCCAACAGGGGAATTGAACCCCGGAGGAATGAACCCCGGTCAGCCTTGCGCAAGGCAAACGCACTACCCGCTGTGCTATCGCTCCAGCTACATTAAAGTATAGATTAGTTAAATAGAATTCATCTCCGTTACACAGTCTTCAAGCACCTATTTATTTATTTCTGATTTTGGGGACATACCCAGCAGTGTTCAGGGATGACTCTTGACTCTGTGCTCAGGAGTCACTCATGATGGGTTCATGGGACCATATGGAATGCTGGGGATTGAACCTGGGTCATCTGTGTGCTGCAAGACAAACGCCCTACCTGCTATACCATCTCTTTGGTCCTCTAGCATCTATTTTATGTAAGGAGTCTTAACCCCCATAGTACTGTCAATCTTGGTGGTCCTCATGGAGCCATTTGTTGTGCCAGGGATGACACCTGGGTCAGCTGCAAGGTGAGCACCCACTATACTCTTTCTCTGGCCCTTTTGAAGCAAGTGTTATTCTTTCCCTGTGAACTCTCTAATCTAGATCCTCACTACTTCTGCTGCTTGTTTTTTGTTTTGTTTTGTTTTGTTCATTTACTTTGTTTTGGGGTCACTTCCGGCAGTATGCAGTCCAGGCTGTGTACTTAGGGATCAGTCCCGCCAGGACTGGAGATCAGTCCTGGCAGGACTGGAGGCCCGTATAGGTGCCAGGGATCAATCAATTTCAGGTTGGGCATGTGCAAGGCAAGCTCCTTAACCACTGCACTATCACTCCAGCCCTTCTGCTTCTTACATCAATCTGTTGCAAACTTTTATTTATTTATTCGCTTTTTGGGTCACACCCAGCGATGCTCAGGGGTTACTCCTGACTCTGCACTCAGGAATCACTCTTTTTTTTTTCTTAAGTCTTTTTTCTTTTTTTATTAGTGAAACACCATGAGATTATAGACTTATAAATTTTTGTGCTTGGGTTTCAGTTATACAATGATCAAGTACCCATCCCTCCACCAGTGCCCATCCTCCCCCACCACGGGTCCCAGCATCCCTCCCACCCCCCATCCCCCCCGTCCCACCCTGCCTCTGTGACAGGGCATTCCCCCTTGTTCTCTCTCTCTTCTTTTGGGTACTGTGTTTTCAAGAGAGGCTTTGAGTGGCAATCATGTTTGGTCTATAGACTACTTTTAGCATGTCTCTCCCACTCTGGGAGGGTCCTCACAACACCCTTAATTTGGTGCTCTCTTCTCTATCAGAGCTCAGGAATCACTCTTGATGGTGCTCAGGGGACCTTATGGGATGCTGGGAATCAAACCCAGGTCAGCCACATGTAAGGCAAACGCCCCACCCGCTGTGCTATTGTCCAGCCCCAATCTGTTGCAGACTTTTAGAAAATTAATCAGTATGGGGCTGGAGAGATCGTATATTGGTAAGCTCTTTGCCTTGCACATGATTTGTTCCTCAGCACCTGATCTGATTCCCTAAGCACTGCCAGGAGTGATTCTTGAGTGTAGATCCATAAGTAACTTCTGAGTATTGCCAGGCGTTGCCCAAAACCAATAATAATAGTAATAATAATTAATTAGGGAACTCCTTTAAATTAGGTAAATATAGTCTGTTCCTGTTATCTTTAATCTTCATTTTTTTCTTTTTGGGTCACACCCAGCAATGCTCAGGGGTTATTCCTGACTCTGCACTCAGGAATTACTCCTGGCGGTGCTCAGGGGTCCATATGGGATGCTGGGAATCAAACCCGGGACGGCCGCATGCAAGGCAAACGCCCTACCCGCTGTGCTATCGCTCCAGCCCCATATCTTTAATTTTCTGTATGCAGTTTTGTTAGGAATGTTTATTTTAAATTTAAATGTGAGAATGAGGAAACATACAACATATCAGGCTTGTACTATAGCTAAAAAATTGGCTGTGGGCCAGAGTGATAGTATAGAGCACTTGCCTTGCACACGGCTGACCTGGATTCTATCCCCGGTGCCCTATATGCTCCTGAGTACCATCAGGTATTTCCCAGAAACAAATTGGCTAGCCTTAAAATATATATGTGTGTGTATGTGGAGATGTGTGTGTGTGTGTGTGTGTGTGTGTGTGTGGGTATAGTGCTATTGGGGCTACTCCTGACTCGGTGCTTAGGAGTGACCCCTGCTGGTGGTTGGGGGACCTTCCATGGTGTCTGGAATTCAAACTGGAGTCTTGGGAGATGTAAGGGAAATGCCTGAATCCCTGTACTCTCTCCAGCCCCCAAATTTTAGGTTTTTGTTGTTTTAAGTCATTGTTGTACCTGAACACACAACAAGTAGAGAGGTTGTTCAAATTCAAGGAAGCTAAATGGTATCCAAATGCAATGTGCATGAACCTTGACTGGATCTTGGATAAAAAATTTTAAAAGGGGCTGGAATGATAGCACAACGGGTAGGGCGTTTGTCTTGCACGCAGCCGACCCGGGTTCGATTCCCAGCATCCCATATGGTCCTCCGAGCACCGCCAGGAGTAATTCCTGAGTGCATGAGCCAGGAATATCCCCTGTGCATCGCCGGGTGTGACCCAAAAAAAGAAAGAAAAAAAATTTTTAAAGCTGTTATAATTACAGGGAGATAGTACTGTGGGTAGGGCGCTTGACATGCGTGTAGCCAACCAGGGTTCAATGCCTGTCACTCAATATAGTCCCCAAGTCCACCAGGAGAGGTCCCTGAGCACAGAGCTAGAATAGCCCTGAGTACTGCCAGTTGTGCCCCAAAGTCAAAAACTCTAGCTCTAGCTAGAGAAAGTCAAAAACCAAACAAAAATAATAAAAAAAAAACTGTTCAAATTACTTAGGACTGATCTAAAAAAAATTTTTGTGTTACACACAGTGGTGCTCAGGCTTTACTCCTGGCTCTCTGCCCAAGAGTCACCCTGACAGTACTTGGGGAGCCGTGTGTGGTGCCTTGGATTAAGCAAGTGCCTTAACTGATATGCTATTTTTACAGCCCCTAATTTGAAAATATTCAACATGGGCCACATACTAGAGAACATTTTATCTGGCTGCATTTTCTGTTTGTGGTTATGCAGTGCTCATTGCTTTTCCAAGAAATATAATGTGGATTTGGGGTTAAAGGTTCTGCAACTTTTATTTTGCTCGCCCAAAGTGATCTGTACACAAAAATAAGTAAATGTGGCAAAAAGAAATTTGTTGTTGTTTTTGGGCCACACCCAGCAATGCTCAGAGCTTACTCCTGGCTCTGTACTCAAGAATTTCTGGCGGTACTCAGGTCACCATAGGGACTGCTAGGGATTGAGCCCAGGTCAGCTATGTACAAGGCAAGTACCCAATGCACTGTGCTATCTCTCCAGCATCTCAATTTTTTAAAAATAGGTCATGAGCATAAAGTTGTTAACTACATTATTTCAGGTTTAGTAGATTTGAAATTTCCCAATAAACCAAAGGGCTAATAAAAATGAGAACTACAAATTTATCATAGTAAACATAACATATAAAGTTAGAAGTTTGAAAAGTGACATCATGATGTATTCATATTTCTGTGACCCTTTAGTATTGAGCATAGTGGGAAAGTATTCGTGGAGGGGCTAAACTTCCTGTTTTTTGTTTTTGTCTTCCAGTATAGACTATGGTCGGAGGAAAAAAAATGCTTTTAGGATTCAGGTTGAAAAAGGTGAGTGTTTTATTATTAGAGTTTACGTTACCTAATAAAATTTGGAGGGAACAAATTCTCTCATGGTATTTTTCTTTCTGTTTCAGTGTTTAACATAATCAGTAGTGAGAAAGAAATGAAGGCTCTTACTGAATTAGAAGATGAACATCTGGCAAAAAGAGCAAGACCAGGGGAGGAGGATAATGAGTAAGGATTACAAAGTGGAGGTTCCTTTGACACAGGAGGAAAGTGGTCACATTATGTTTCTGCTTCGAAACATTCCGTGGTTTTTTATTGCCAGGGCGGCTCTGCATCACACACTCCTCCCCCATCCTGCTCTTTTCTCCAGACATGCTTTGAGTGAATACTCATTGCGTCCTGAGGGGCGCATGCCGTGGACTTGCCTGCTGGTTTCTTCCAGTTGCTGGATTCTTTTTTCCCCATGAACTTTGGCTCGGTCTTAAGAACCAGTCTTGCAGAGATTGTGCTGCTGCCCTGGTTAGACCTCCTTCCACTCTTCTTTTACTCAGAGTTTCCTTAACATCTCATTACATTTGCTCATAAGGCTGGTATCAAGATGTATTTTTGTATTGCCCACAAGAAGTGTTTCATCTTAGTTTCACTCCATCTCCCGCCCACCCCACCCCCACCCCCAGCTTTTTGGGCCATGCTTGGCGATGCTCAGGGGTTGCTTCTGGCTCTACACTCAGGAAGTACTCCTGGTGGTGCTCAGGGGACATATGGGATACCAGGGGTCTAACCCTGGTCAGCCATGTGCAAAGGCAAACAAATGCCTTACCCACTGTGCTGTTGCTCCGGGCCCTGTTTTGCTCCATCTTAATACAGTGCCACATATATAAAAACTGTTGATTAGTTTTGGAAATTGTTTAAGAAATCACATGAGTGAGACAGGAAGAATTGCTTAGAAAGGGCTGGAGTGCATGCTCTGTTGCAGGAGACCCAGGTCTGATTGCTGAGCACCACTGGAGGCAGCTTCTGAGCACCGTTAGGTGTGCCCCCTTCTCTCCCTGGGCCCCCAAATGGAATCAAAGCAGCAAGAACAGAAAGAAATAGTATTGGTGGGTGCGAGAAATAATAGAGAGAGCTAGAGTGAGAGAACAGTGGTAAGGTGCTTGCCTTGCATGTGGCCACGCCAGGTTTGATCCCTGGCACCCTGTGTACCCCTCCCCACCCCTGCCAGAAGTGATCGATGAGCACAGCCAGGAATAAACCCCAAGCATTTCAGGTATACTCCCAAAATTCCTCAAAAAGATAAGAGGAAATAGCATTAATGAAAGGGGCTTTTATTCTTTTGTTTTTCCCTGGGGCTCCAGGAAGGAACCCAGGGCCTCACACATCTATCTTTTCTTGGGGGTGATTCTTTTAGGATGTGGGAGAAAAGCCTTTAAAATATTTCCGTTTTTTATTTTTAGATATACTGAGAGCTATTCTGATGATGATTCAGATATGGAAGATTACCCAAGTCAGCAGGTAAGGCAAACCTTAAACAGACCCACTCTGCCTGCCCCTCGCTCCCTTTCCCTTTGGGGTTGATGAGCTACACCGGGGCTTGCACACGAGCTGGGGCACCAAGGGTCACGCTGACAGCTGGGGTAGCAGGATGCAGCAGTGAGGTGGGTGGTGCTCCCCATTGCTCTTGTGGCCTAGGGCCTGTGTGGTGCTCTTTCTCTGAGCCACACGCCTGGACTGCCCTCTTGGGTGTGGCTTCTAAATACGTAATTGAAAAGACTTCATTTTCTCTGAAGAAATTAGAAATTTAAGTTGGCACAGGTTTTGGTTCGGAACAGGCTTCGGGCTGCTGTGCTCAGGCACCCCATGGGCCTCTTTCAGCCAGCAGGATCAAGGTCTCTGGCCACCCTCATGCTTGTTGATCTTCCCCACTAGGATTTTCAATATTTTAAAATTTTTAAATCTTACAATAATTTTTGTTTTGGGCCTGCTCCTGTCATTGCTCAGGGCTCTCTCTTGGCTTCACACACCTGTGTCATTCCTGATGATGCTTGGGGGATTGTATGCAGTGCTGGGGATTGAACCGGCTTTAGCTGTATGGAAGGCCAGCATCTTAAACTCCTGTACTATCTCTTCTTTCCCTATTACCCACTCAATTTCTTTTTTTTCAAAGCAAACATACTGTGGCCAGAGTGATAATACAGTGGGTAGGGTGTTTGCCTTGCACGAGGTTGACCCAAGTTTGATCCTAAGCATCCCACATGGTCCCCTGAGCAGCACCAGGAGTTATTCCTGAGTGCAGAGCCAATAATAACCCCTGAGCATCACCGGGTGACCCCCTTCTCAAAAGAAAAGCAACCATACTTATTTGATTTAACTGCCAGTTATGAATTGGTATGCTAAATTGGGTGATACATTCCCTTTTTTTTTTGTTTAATTATCTTTTAGTTTGGGGGACATAGGCGTCCTCAAATGCTCGGGTCACTGCTGGTGGGCTCAGGGGACGATGAGATGCTGGGGATCGAACCCAGGCTTGTGCAAGGCAAATGCCCTATCCTCTGTACTGTTGCTCCATCCCCTACATCCCTCTTTTGAATAGTAATAGCTCGTGAATCATATTGTAATCATCTATATTTTATAGCAAAAGATGTTGTGAGAAAACTTCTTTTTGATTTTGATTGGGCCATACCTGGCTGTGCCCAGGAATTACTCCTGGCTCTGCCCTCAGGTATCATTGTTGATGGGGCTTAGAGCCAGTCACATTCAAGGCAAGTGCCCTGGCTCTGTATCATTGCTTCTCGTGAGAGAAGTTGCTTAGGAAAACCAAAAAAAAAAAAAGAGTCTAGGGAAGAAAATCACTAACATGGTTGAACAAACCATCCCCAGCACCAATTGAGTGACTTCTTTTTCTTTCAGCCAGCAAACCTTATGAATAGTTCCTTGCTCTCCTTGTATCGGAAAGGAAATCCCGATTCTGCGTCAGGTACTCCTGAAGTGGAGCCAAGAGACAAAGCAGGCTCCGCAGGAGGCTTGGCACGCTCTGGTCTTTCGAAGACCCCTGCCAGAGATTCCGAAGGAGGATGGTTTATTGACACAACTCCCGGTGGAAAGACAGACGATTTTTTCTCGGACTTAATGGATGAGAAAAGTCATCAGAAGAAGTCAATATCTAAGATAGAGGTAAAATTATTATTTTTTTTTGGCAGTGAAATCTGTGTCCCATGTAATTGGGGTATATTGTAGCTTTTCACTGAACACAGATAGCAAGCATATTTTCCTGTTTTGTGAGACAGAAACTATGGAACACTATAGACTCTGAAAGGTTGCTGTACCTGCCATTATGCTACTGATACCATCTGAAATACTAGTAGAATCTTATCTCTACCCACTGCTGCCATCAATTTCATCCTAGTCTGTACTTGTACTCTATCACCTTTATATATAATATGTATATATTTATTTTTGGTTTTAGGGCCATACCAATGTAATATGGGTGGGGAGATGTTGGGGTTTAGGGGGAAGTGCAGCACGCGCCTAGTGGCGCTTAGGGCTTACACCTGGATCCTTGCTCATTGGATCACTTCCTTTTTTTTTTTTTTTTATTTATTTTTTGCTTTTTTGTCACACCTGGTGATGCACAGGGGTTACTCCTGGCTCAGGCATTCAGGAATTACTCATGGGATGCTGGGAATCAAACCCAGGTCGGTCGTGTGCAAGGCAAACGCCCTACCCACTGTGCTATCACTCTAGCCCCAACTCATTAATCACTTCTTGGTGGCACTCTGGGACCACATGTGATGCTGGGGGTTGAACCCAGATCAAGGACCCTACCCACTGTGATTCCTCTGGCCCAAGGAATGCAATTTTTTTTGAGGGGGGAGAGAACGGAGCACACTTGACATTACTCAGAGCTTACTCCTGGCTCTGAACTCAAGTTACTCCTGGTGGTGCTTGGGGGACCATATGGGACGCTCCCCAGCATCCAACCCAGGTCAGCCATATGCAAGGCAAATGCCATAGCAGCTGTAGTGTGTCTCCATCTGCATTATCTCTCTGGCTTCTGGAATACATTTAGTTCATTATTATTTGCTTTTTTGGCCTCAGTTGGCACACTCAGAGGTTACTCCTAGCTCTGCACTCAGAAATTAATTAGGGAACAATATGGTATGCTGGGGATTAAACCCACTGTATTATCCACTCTGTCTCCCTGGAATTCAATTAAAAAAAAAAACACATTATTTTAGGATAGTGGATTGGATCAAACCTGGCGGTGCTCCGAGCCTGCTCTGGACTCTGCTCAGGGCTCAGTCTTAGTGGTGCTCAGGTGAACCATCTGTGGTACCATGGAGCTAGTGGGGTCAGGCACATGCAAGACAAGCACTTATCTCCTATATGATCTCTCTAGACCAGGAATACAGTGTGTGTGTGTGTGTGTGTGTGTGTGTGTGTGTTGGGGGTCGTGGACAGGGGATGTTTGGACTACAGCTAGCAGTGCTCAGGGGTTACTCCCAGCTTGACACTCAGGAATCACTTCCTGTGGGCTTGAGACCATCTGGGATGCCACAGATTGAACTGTGGTCAGCTACGTGCTAGTGCCTTCCATGCTGTATTATATCTCTGGCCCAGGAATGCAGTTTCTAATAATTCACCTTTAGAAAATCTTTATTGACGAGGTAGGAGGTCCTGGGTGACTTTGGTCATCTGAACAGCTTCGGTGCTGAGCATACTTAGCCCAGGCCTGGCGCTTTTGCCCTTTTCCTCCTTCCCGGTTTGAGGCCTCTGCCGCAGCCATGCTGCGCATGATTTTCAGCCAGACTAAGAAGCATCCGTGCTTGAATCCCCTCTTCATCTTTATTGGAGCTGGAGGTACTGGTGCAGTGCTATATGTTACCCGCCTGGCCTTGTTCAGTCCTGATGTCAGTTGGGACAGAAGGAATAACCCTGGAACAAACTGGGTCCAAATGATCAATACAAGTTTTTTGCAGTGAATGTAGATTACAGCAAACTGAAGAAAGAAGGTCCAGACTTCTTTCACTTCTTTCACTTGTAAAGCTGCTTAAAATGAAGGTTTTTCAGAAGGCATCGCACAATTTTCCACTGAACTAGGAAATACTTCCCCTCTAAATGGATGAAAACATGTTTGATGTATTATGTTGGGGATTGCAATGATTAATAAATATATGAAACAAAAAAATCTTTATTGACACATTCATTTATATATCGCATGTTTAATCCCCCCCCCCCCCCCCCGAATTCAAAGGATTCTTTTCTGGAGAGTGATAAAAAGGGGAAAGGCAGGCAAACGAGAAAAGGGAACAAAAGGAAGATGGAGCTTCAGGAAGTTGATGGAGACATAGAAGATGGTCTGCAAAAGAAAGGTGAGGTCCAGTGTGACACCGGGTGTTTGCTCTGAGAGAGGCATCACTGGTCCCCTTTTGTTTGAGGACCTCTCTGTGCAGAGACTTGGTTGGGTGGGTTTTTTTGTTCTGTTTTGTTCTTTTTTTGGTATGGGGGGTGTACCTGGCAATGCTCAGGGCTTACTCAGGGCTCTGTGCTCAGCGATCACTCTTGGTGGCACTCAGGAAACCATAGAGGGCGCTGGAGATGAAACCCAGGTTTCATCTCCAGCATGCACTGTCTCCAGCCCCTGTGTACAGACACTTTTATTAGAAAATGGTTCAGTGGAGGGGCTGGAGTAATAGTATAGCAGGTAGGGCATTTGCCTTGCATGCGGCCAACCCGGGTTCGATCCCCAGTGTCCCATATGGTTCCCTGAGCATTGCCAGGAGTAATTCCTAAGTGCAAAAAAAAAAAAAAACAGTGGTTCAGTGGGGCTAGAACGACAGCACCACGGGTAGGGCGTTTGCCTTGTATGCGGCCGACCCGGGTTTGATTCCCAGCATCCCATATGGTCTCCTGAGCACGTCCAGGAGTAATTCTGGGCTGCAGAGCCAGGAGTGACCCAAAAAGCAAAAGCAAAAAAAAAAAAAAGGTTCAATGGACTTTTGATGACTTAGTGATTATTAAGTGCTGAATTATGTCTGAATCACTAACCTGAGCACCTCTGTCCTCTTGCTTACCAGCCAAAGCCGGGGTGGAATTGCAGATTTCCAACGTGAAGTTTGAAGATGTCGGAGGCAACGATACAACCTTAAAAGTTAGTTCGCATTCGGAACCTCACCTTGGGCTACTGCTCATCACCTGGGCAAATAACGCCATCCTTATTATACCCGGGGGTGGGTGGGAGCCTGGGAGGGTGCAGAGGGCAAGTCTGATTTATACCATCGGAGCACTGGGCAAGAGAGGCACTCTGTTCTCAATTTTCGCTATTTAAATTGGAGCATGTTTGTCACTTGTAAGCAATATTCCTTTATCTTCTTTTAGTAAGGACCAGGAGCCACTGGGGCAGAGCTCGGCCAGACATGCGCCAAAGCCGCTCTGGCTACTGATGGTTAGTGCCACCAGTTACATCTGGGGTGCTCTGGGGGGCCCAGGTTATGTGGCTTTAGGGATCAAGCTCACAGCCATGCACGTGCCAGGCATGTGTCTGCCCCTTGAGCGGTCTACTGGCCCTTGTCAGCAGCATTACTAGGTGGGACCTTCCTCACAGCTCCTAGAGTAGAGTCCAGGGGTCAGTCTTGGTGATACTCAGTCTCAACCTGGCTTGACACTGCTGGTTCAGTGCTTGAGCCCAAAGGTGCTGTTGCCACCAAGGCCACCCCATCTGTGCTTTGGGACTGATTGGTACCAGGCATCCAGCTCATCATTTGGCCAGGCATGCATTAGAGCCCTCTGAGCTGTCTCTCGGGAGAATGAAAATGAGTTCTTTAGGGTTTTGTTTGGTTTTATGAGCTTTTGTTTTTGCTCAGTGGGTGGGTCACATCCAGCAGTACTCAGGCTGGTTCTGACTCCCGGCAGCTGCTCTTTTTTATTTATTCATTTGGGTGGGGGCGTGGGGTGGGGAATTGTTGGGCTATACCTGGCAGAGCTCACTCCTGAATCAGGAATCACTCCTGGCGGGCTCAGGGACCATGTGGGATACTGGCAATTGAATTCTTACTGGTTGTGTGCAAGGCAAGCGGCCCACCCGCTGTACTGTTGCTTGGGCCCTTGTTGTGGCAGGCAGTTCCTGGTGGACCATGTCTTGCCAGGCATTGAGTCTTGGCCTCCCGCTTGCAAAGCCTTCAATTCCCATTAAGTTTTCTCTCCAGCCCATTAAGTAAGTTTTTTGGAAGAGGAGTAATAGTAGTGGATGCTGTTTATTATTCAGTATCTACTCTTTTCTAATTGTCAGGCTAGTTTTTATATCAGAATCTTCTGAGGAGATGGGTGCTCGGTAGAGCTGTTGCGGGCACTGGGTTCCAGCGCTGGCACTCAAACTCAGATGGAAGCAAGAGCCTCCCTTGACCGGCTCGCTCAGCTCTGAAGAGTAGGGGCGTTGTCTTTCGTGGTGATTCTTTTTTGAGACTGTGAAGAATGTCTGTCCTCCTTCCCTCCTAGGAAGTGTGCAAGATGCTCATCCACATGCGTCACCCCGAGGTGTACCACCACCTGGGCGTCGTGCCCCCTCGGGGAGTCCTCCTGCATGGGCCGCCCGGCTGCGGGAAGACGCTGCTCGCACAAGCAATTGCTGGGGTGAGCGCGCTCTCTCTCTCTCTCTCTCTCTCCTCCCCCCTCTCTCCCTCCTGCTTGCTCCCTCTCTCCCTCATATTGAGAATTGGTTGGTTCCTTTTTTGTGGTTTTTTGTTGGTTTGGGGGCCGCACCCATTGGCGCTGGAGGCTACTTCCAGTTCAGTTGGAAGTAGCTGAGGGTTGCTCCTGGAGGGACTTGGGGGACCTCATGGTGTAGGGGATTGAACTTGGGGCTCCCTTACTGCAGAACATGTGCTCCAGCCCTTTGTGCTGTCACCCTGCTGTCTCTAAGAAATAGAGGCAGTTATCTTTTTATGACAGAGATTGGGTGAGAAGAATGTATTTGTGAGCAGTAAATTTATAATGGACATTTTGGTTATCTCTTAAGTTATTGGTTATAGGAATATACTCTGTGTGTGTGTGTGTGTGTGTGTGTGTGTGTGTGTGGACATTGTAGTTATCTCTTCTCTTAAGTTTTTGGTTATAGGAATATATATATATATATAGAGAGAGAGAGAGAGTGTGTGTGTGTGTGTGTGTGTGTGTGTGTGTATTACGTGTGTGTGGTGCCACACCTGGTGGTATTAGGGGGTCATGCAAAGCTTGGCGTCTGTCCTATGAACCACATCTCCCTCCTCAGGGTTGTATTGTTCTTCACAGAGCTGCATGTATTCAAAGCTTTTGTTCCAAGTCATGCTTCTATAATACATATTTCTCTCTTTTTTGTTTTTGGCCCACTCCTGATGGTGCTCAGGGGACCATTTGGGGTACTAAGGATTGAACTGAGGTCAGCTACATGTGTGGCAAGTGCCTTAATCCCTGTACTGTCTCTCCAACTACCGACTTTTTTCCATGTTTTTAATTATTTTTTTATTTTGGATTTTGGCCCACACCCAAACGATGCTCAGGGGTTGCTCCTGGCTCTGTGCATGATGCCTTGTTTTTATATTTTTTTTATTGTGAAATGTTCTTTATAATAGATCCTTGGCAAAATTTAAAAGTAATTTTCTCATTTTGCCTTTTTTTATTTTTCATAAACTGTATTGGATATTAAAATGCAGAATATTCAAGTAAATTTGAGGAACAGCATAATAATAGGTTAGTATTCTAAAGGAACATTATTTGGGGGCATTTTTTTTTTTTATTGTAGGGACAGGGTACATCTGACTTGGCTCAGGTCTTATTTCTGGCTCCGTACTTGGGTCATTCCTGGTGGTGCTCATGGGACCATATAGGATGCTGGGAATCCAACCAGGATGAGCAAGGCTTGTGCCCTACTCACTATACTATTTCTCTAGCTACGAGAAGGTTATTTATTTTTTTTCTTTTGGGGTCACACCCAGTGATGCGCAGGGGTTACTCTTGGCTTTGCACTCAGGAATTACTCCTGGCGGTGCTTGGGGAACCATATGGATACCGGTGATCAAACCCGGATCGGCCGCAAGCAAGGCAAATGCCCTACCTGCTGTGCTATCGCTCCGGCCCCAAGAAGGTTATTTTTAATGGAGAACTTGATCGATTCGTCAAATACTTTCATTTGAATAAATTGTGTGACTGCCCCATGCCAGACATTGCAGTGTGTGGTATGTGTATCTCATACGTTGTTTTTGTGTTTTCAGTGAGATACAGTACACATCAATGCTATGTAGTAGTCACTGTAACATATGGAAACAAGGAGTGCAGAATTCTAAGCATCATGGTTTCTGGGGGCGGGGTTGGTGGTGATGACATAACCTGTGTTAAGGCTGGGATCAGGGTCAGGGTTAGGTTGAGAGAGTTCTCTCCCCGTCACTCTCTTCAACACTGTCAGGTGTGATCCCATGACAGCACCAGCAGAAGAGTTAATTCACTGATCAGGTTAATTCCCGCCTGCCATGCACAGAGACTGACCTTGGCCCTGCAGGTTGGACACTGCCTCATAAAGTCTTAGATGCCTGCTAGCACCTCCAAGCATGGCCTTGATGACCACCAGCACTGCTCAACTGGCCAAATCTGAATTTGCCCTCCTGCAACCCCAGAATAAGAGTTTGATCACAGAAGATAGGATTGAACAGGCGAGATTTGTGGATAGCCAGAGGGAGGAGTAGGGTTAGGCAGTCTTCTTGGTATTTGTGCTGGTGGGTCCCCGGTGGTTTTTCTTCTTTTTCTTAAAGAGTCTGTCTCCTGGGCTGGGGATAGAACTGTTTCTTTTTTTAGTTATTCAGCACACACAGAGAGAGAGAGAGAGAGAGAGAGAGCGCTTTTTCTTTCCTTTCTTAATTATTTAACACACATACTTTGTTTTGGGGCCACACCTGGTGGTGCACAACAGTAACAAAGTAAAAGTAGGTAGAAGGTTGAAGATTATTGTGGTTGGATAAAAGCCACAAAAATTATAAATTATGTTTTTTCAGAGGACCAAGACAAAAAAGGTAATTTCCTCAGAAATGGTCACTGCAAAATTATTCTCAAGAGAGAAACTAATGATTAAGGGAAAAGTAGGGAATTTAGAATTTAAAAGTGTGGTTATTCTTTTCATATATTTGTGTGTAGGAACTTGAGCTTCCAATTTTGAAAGTTGCTGCTACGGAGATTGTGTCTGGGGTATCTGGAGAATCCGAACAGAAGCTGAGAGAACTGTTTGAGCAAGCTGTGGTGAGTCACATACTAAGGCTCATGTCACGGTGGAGATAATTAAGGTTTTATTGAAGATTCGGTTTCCTCTAATGCTGATATTTCAATCCAGTGACTGACATTATTTTGTACGCATTTGTTACACATGGTGGCTAAATATTTAAAGTATATTTGTAGATATAGACTGTTTGAGAAAAGAATCTGTTTCATCTGAAATCAAATATAAACATGATTGGTGAGAAGCTGTGGGCTATCATACCGTGTGTGTTGAAATAGACTGCCTTATGTTCCAGAGAGTATGGTGGGTAAGGCACACTTGCCTTACATGCAGCCCACCCCGGTTTGATCCCTGGCATCCTATGTGGTCTCCTGAGTACCTTAGGAGTAATTTCCTGAGCATTGCCAGGTATAGCCCCAAAACAAAAATAATGATAATTTTTTTTTTAATAGACTACCTTGTGATACTGCTTTTGCTTTTACTTTGCTCAGCCTAGATCTGACCATTGACCAAAACAATTTACAAGCAGTGTGGAAAATTTTGCCACTTAGATTATTATATTATAAAAGCAGTTCACAGACTGGAGAGAGTACAGTGGGCAGGGCACTTGCCTTGCACATAGCCAACACAGGTTCAAACCCCGGCATCCCATATAGTTCCCCGAGGACCACCAGGAGCAGTACCTGAGCACAAAGCCAGGAGTAACCCCTGAGCATTGCGGGTGTGCCCTCCCCCACCCCCCAAAATAAAAAAGCATTTCAGCTGTAGGAATGCCAGGATAAACTCTCTTCGAATAGTTAAAGCTGTAAAAAATTGTGTTCTAGAGAAGCTGTGAATTGATTTCATCCTATTTGTGATTCATGCTGTTAAAATTTGGATGTTTAAGAATTAATGTAGGGGGGCTGAAGAGATAGCACAGCAGGCAGGGCGTTTGCCTTGTATGCGGCTGACCCGGGTTCGATTCCCAGGATCCCATATTGTCCCCCGAGCATTGCCAGTGGTAATTCGTGAGTACAGAGCCAGGAGTAACATAGGGTCTGAATCAAAAAGCAAAAAAAAGAAAAAAAGAATGAATGAGGAAATTGACATTTGCGTTCAGGAATGATGAAATGCCTGAACTCTCCAGCTTAACTTCGGATACCCTCAAGTAGTAATCTGAGCATCTGGGTAAGAGATGCCCCTGCAAACCCTGAGTTTCCTTATCCTGTACTGCCTTAATAAGTTCTCAGATTTCATGGGATATTGAGAGTATCCTCTCATTATAAACCCAGGTGAAATGAGAAGAGAAGTGTATTTTAGCGGTCACAGAGAAATCTATGTTGAAACAAGCATGTCAGTTTCTTTCTCTGTAAATCACGGTAGAGCCTGTGGTAGGTACTGTGGTAGCTCTCCGGGCCAGGCTGGCAATTTGGGTGCGTGTCATTCCTTCCTGTTAAATAACTAAGAGTGAGCTGTGCTCTAGATACTTTACACAGATAACTTGATTTGGACTCAACGTTGTCTTTTCTATCCTGGTAAAGTATGTTTAACAGGACATTTGCCATTAAGACATTCCAATGTTCATTTCTGCGGCAGTGAGTGCAGTCATCCTGGGGTGTGACATTATGTCCTTTCATCTTCAGAACCTGAGTCCTTCCTTAGCTGGAATTCCAGCAGGTCTTGGCCACTTCTTGTCCTTCTGCCTCTGAAATAATGACTGTTGTAGATAATTGATGTCTGTCTCATACTTAGTCTGTCGGACCCTGTGGAGTTGATTTTTAGGGGAAGATGGAAGACTTTAGAACTTTATCCACCCCAGGTGGAAGATGTGCAGAAAGCTTACCATCCTACTTTATTTGGAGTAGTTTTCAGAAGCCTTCAGTCACTTAATGTTTTGTTTTGTTTTTTGCTTTGGTGCTATTCCCGGTGGTGCTCAGGGGTTATTCCTGGCTCTCCACTCAGGAATTACTCCTGGCGGTGCTTGGGGGACCATATGGGATGCTGGGAACCGAACCTGCGTTGGCCGTGTGCAAGGCAAACACCCTACCCACTGTGCTATTACTCCAGCCCCACCTTTGATCATTTTAGTATTGAAAGATTGAAAAAGTTTAGAGATAGGTAGAGGTGATTATTGTATAACAAAGTGAGCATATTTCATTACCAATCAGCTGTACACAGTTGAAATGGTAACTTCTATGTGTATCTGACCACGTGAAAAATTAAAATGCTCCTTAAATTCTTCTTAGGACAGATTTTAGGGGAAATTTTGGCCATTTTTATGTTGGTGGAGGCACTCATAACATTTGTAGGAAGATTTGGTGTTCTAGTTTAAAGTTTATAAACATGTTTTGTATCATTAAAAAAAAGTTTATAAACACATGAGTTTCAGTAGATTATAAAATGGATGGACTGTGTCACTAGGTATGTTGTTTTACTGACCTCTTTTAAGCATCTTGTTTCTTTTTTTTTTTTTTTTTTTTTTTTTTGCTTTTTGGGTCACACCCGGTGATGCACAGGGGTTACCCCTGGCTCATGCACTCAGGAATTACTCCTGGCAGTACTCGGGGGACCATATGGGATGCTGGGAATCGAACCCGGGTTGGCCGCGTGCAAGGCAAATGCCCTACCCGCTGTGCTATCACTCTAGCCCCAAGCATCTTGATTTTTTATGTATTACAGTAGTTGCCTTCGTCCATGGGTGTTAAGTTCTGAGACCAGGATGGATGTGGGAACCTGCAGATGCGTTCCCTGGACCCTGTGTTTCCCAGTTGTATAGATAAGAGTAGTAACATTTGTTTTATGGATCAAGCATGGTAAAAGACAAGCGTAGTCACTAATAAGAAAAGGGTGACAAAGGTATAATAAGGAGTTACATGAATGCAGTTTCTCTGGGCTGAATATCTTAGTATGTATAATATTTCCAGGTCATGGTTCACTAGGTAACTGGACCTGGGGAGCAAAACTGCGCCTGAGGAGGAACGCCTGGATGCTTGATATGCGGCAGTATAGAGAATGTACTTATCACGGTCTCTTTGTGATATGCTTCTTTCTAGTCACATGCTCCCTGTATCTTTTTTATTGATGAAATTGATGCTATTACCCCCAAGAGAGAAGTTGCTTCAAAAGATATGGAACGAAGAATCGTAGCCCAGCTTCTAACCTGCATGGATGGTCAGTTTAAAATAGCAAATTCACTTGATGATAATGGGTTGTACTAGTGTCAGTAACGTGGAGAGACACAACACATCCAGGTAGAATAAAAGACAGTAAAAATTAGAATTTTTCTATCGGGCCAGAGCAATAGCTTGACAGACTAGGATTGCATACTTCGCATTTAGAAAGACTGGGTTTGATGTCTGGCGTGCCGTGGTTCTCCCTGTGCCGTCACGAATGGGCCGCAAGCACTGAGCCATGAGTATCCCTGAGTATTGCAGGGTGTGGCACCAAAAAAAGGAGAGTAAAGATTTTATTATTAGTTTTATGGAGTTTAATTATCTTCACTACATATATACATGCCCTAACACATTGTTTTGCTTTTTGCAATACTTGGATTGAATCATACACACTTCTTGCTGGTTTTATTTTTATTTTTGGGTTTTGGGCCATACATGGCAATGCTCCGGGCTTTCTCGTAGCTCTGCACTCAGGAATTATTCCTGGTCTAATAGATAAAAGTTTTATCTCCTTTTAAATTTAAATTTCCCTGCCTGTCACTGTTGCCATTGCTATTAATCATCTCTCCAAATACTTGTGACTGTTAGTCTCAGATCCAGAAATCCTTTTCCTCAAGCCTGGGAAATGGCTCAGGGCTGGAGCAGAGCACGTGGTTTGCATGAGGGAGGCCTCGGTGCAGGTCCCAGCACTTCATGTGCCCTGAGCACTGAGCCAGGAGCAGGCCCTGAACATGTGCAGTTGTGTCCCCAGGTCAGACCAGAATTTCTTTTCTCATCTATTCCCTTTCATCCTATAATCTCCTAAGAATTGGTAAGGAATATTTTATTTTAATTGTTGTAACATTTCCTTTGTTAAATAAGTTATTTTTTACCTGATTGTTTTGGGGCTTGTTTTATGGTTTTTGTCTACAAATTTGGAGTGAAAATCAGTAAAAATAGAATTCTGTCACTTGCTTCTACCTACTACGAAATACTGTGTTTTTTATGCACACAAAAATTTGAAGAACTATTCTATATACCTGTGATGCTAAGTTGTAGGTTGCTTATTCTGTCTTCTATATTTTTTGAGGTGTGGGAGATACCCAGCAGTGTTCGGGGGCTACATCTGACTCGATGTTTGAGCAGTTGCTGCAGGAGGTGCTGGGGACCATGTGGTGCCAGGGATTGAACCTGGGACTCACGCCTGAAGAATATGCTCTCTGACTCTTTGGGCATCTCCCCGGCCCCTTTTTGGTGTTTAATTCTGGTCCAGCGGAGAGAACTAATGATTACGGGCGGTATGCTTACGGCCCTGCCTTCAGTCTGTCCCTGTGAAGTCAGTCTCAGGCTTATGCCAGATTAACTAAGATTTATGTATGCTGTTGAATCTCCTGTTTTGAATTAATGACATAGTATATTTTGAAACATAAGCAATTGTCAGCAGTGGGTATTTTTTTTTGGCAGGGGACAGGGGCACACTTGGCAATGCTCATAGGTCTCTCCTGACTCTATACTCAGTAATTATTTCTGGCAGTTTTCGGGGGTCATACTGGGTGTCAGGAATTGAACCCACGTCAGCCCTGTGCAAGGCATTTACTATATAATGCCTATACAGTGTATAGTATCCCTACCCACTGTGCTGTGTCTCCAGCCCCTGAGGTCTAACTTCTGCTGCCTAGACTCCCTTTTTGAACTACTCATCTGTCTAAACATGCCGCATTTATACCATGTTTTTCATGTAGAACTTCTTACTAGTCTTTTGCTGCTGGTGACTATCCTATTTGACTTATGAAGCTTGGTCTGGAATGTTCTGTTGCCTTTGTGAACCCTTCCATTTCCCCTCAGCCAGAATTCTTGAGATCTCCCATTGTATTATCATGGCACTGTATTTTATACCTATTGTGCTTCACAGGATCGGTCTTCTGTGTTTCTCTGTATTGCCATCATAATGCCCACTTATATTTGACTTGTGCGTGCAATTTTGCTTTCAGTTTGTAGTTTCTTATTTTCCATCTTCCCGCATCTGTCTTTTTAGATCTGAATAATATGGCTGCCACGGCTCGGGTTCTAGTCATTGGAGCTACCAATCGACCAGACTCATTAGACCCTGCTCTGAGACGGGCCGGAAGGTTCGACCGAGAAATATGCCTGGGTATTCCCGACGAGACCTCAAGAGAAAGGTGCACTTTGAAATGAAGGTTGTGGCGAGTGTTTGGTGTGAGCTGAATGCTTTGACTATGAGGGGCGGAAAACATCACGTAGTCTTTTCTGTCTCCTCTTGTTTTTTTTTGTGGAGAGGTGTGTGAGGCTGCACCTGGTGGTATTTGGGTGCTGCTCCTGGTTCTGTGCTCCAGTGTCTCTCCTTCCATGGTGCTCGCGAGACCAGGCAGTGCCAGGGTCTCTTCTATTTTTCAGACTCTTTCTATGAAATGTAGTTGAAAAGAAAAAAAGCTCATGTTAAGTTCATGCTTTAGAAAACAGTTTGCTCAATCATTAGGCAGACTCTTCAGACCTTTTAAGCAGTAGTGACAGACGTCGGTACCCAGGCCCAGCGGTCTTACTAACAGTGATTGGTATTTTTCAGGTATGTGATCAGCTTAGGAGCACTGACTAGATGTTTGGAATAGAGCAGTGCTTACTGGTGCCAAGGGAGGTTAATTCTCAGCATCTTTTTGTTTTGTTTTGTTTTTTGCCACACCTGCTGTGCTCTGGGCTTACTACTGACTCTGTGCTCATAGGACCATCTGGGTTGCTGGGGATCGAACTAGGGTTGGCCACATGCAGGGCAAAAGCCCTACCCGCTTTTCTTTCTCTCTGGTCCCTTGCCATCTTATTTTACCTGTTGTGCCAATCTTCTGAGGGCACCGAGGAGCCAGGAGATAGTCACAGCAGTTAGGGGACATGCCTGGTATGTACCCAATGTGGGTTCAATTTCTGGCACTTCATGGATGACCAGCCGCAGTCCTGGAAGCCTCAAGCACAGTTGGGGTGGCCCGGGTGACCCTGGGCCTGTAGCATGTGAGCAGCCCTGCAGCCTCAGCCCTGTATGGAACCACCGGCCCAGCTGGCCAAGGATTGCTGCTGGGGCCCTGGGGCCTCCTGAGCATCACTGGGGATCCTCCCACCCCTCCACCATTAAGAAAACAATCACAGATTCCCTGAAAAATTAGGAGCAGCTAGAGCGCAGAAAGTGGTCTGGTTTTACTGCCAGACTGACCTTTCTTAGTCACTGGGGCTAAAAGTCTATAGGGCTGTGAAACACTTGCCACCATCACCTTGACTATCAGAATATCTTGAGTGGAACTCGAGTAAGGAAGTGTTCTTAAATCATCATGTTTCTCAGACCCGGAGCACAGGGCAGGGGATTCGTCCCGCCTGGGTTTGGTCCTGGCTCCCTGTGGGCCCTGGAGCGTTGCTGACCGTAGCCCTGGAGATCCAGCTCGGGTCAGCCACATGCAGGGTAGAAGCTGCGGTGGTCCAACCCCCCAAAAGGACAGTGGTTTGCTCGCTTCGGCAGCACACTCTAAAATCAGAATGGTGCAGAGAAGAGTAGCATGGCCCCTGCACAAGGATGGTGCGCAAAGTTGTGAAGTGGTCCTTATTTTTTGACAAGTATAGTTGGAAATGACCACTCAGAATAAGAACTTCATGCTGAAAGTAGGTAAAGGAACAAACATGATAGCCTTCCAATATCTGCATTGCAAACCATAATGTCAAAAAGGGAGGTAGGAAGAGGAGAAAGAAAGTGCCTGACCATAGCACTTTAGAGACAGACTGGGTGGCTAGTGGTGGGGTGGGGTAGGAGGTGGTGGGGGAAGGGAAGCTGGGGACATTGGTGGTGGGAAATGTACATTGGTAGAGGGATGGGTGCGGAAACATTGACTGAAACCCAACCATGAAGTCTTGTAACTGTATCTCATAGTGATTCAATTTTTTTAAAAAAGAAAAAAATAGGAGTGGTGGAGGGTGGTGGGTACTTAGGAGGTGGTAAAATTGTAATATTCTTCTATAACAAAACCATAGAAGTTTTCACTGATCCTGTTACTAAGACACAATTTAATTTTTTTTTGCTTTTTGGGTCACACCCGGCGATGCACAGGGGTTACTCCTGGCTCTGCACTCAGGAGTTACTCCTGGCGGTGCTCAGGGGACCATATGGGATGCTGGGAATCGAACCCAGGTTGGCCGCATGCAAGGCAAACGCCCTACCCACTGTGCTATCTCTCCAGCCCCCTAAGACACAATTTAAAAATTAGGGTGTGGAATGGAATAGAGGGTAGAGTGCTTGCCTTGCATGCTGCCAACCAAGAGTTTCATCCTCGGCACCATATATGGTGCCCCAAGTACCACCAGGAGTAATTCCTGGCTGTAGAGCCAGGAGTAATCCCTGAACATCACCGGTATGGCCCAAAGACCCAAGGGGAGGAAAAATCATTGCATGTTCCATACTTGGGGGGAAAAATAGAGATATTATAGTGTGTAGTGTAACTGTGTTGACTAAAACTTGATAGTTTGAGTTTGGAGACTAATTTCTCCTAGATGTTCATTTAGTCTGTCCTTAAATGCAACTTAGCATCTCATAAATCATTTATTTCCTCGGTAATATAAAATCCTTAGAGATAGTATATGTTTAAGTTTATTTTTTGTTTGGGCAGGGGCGGGGCACTTCAAGTGTGTGGTGTCCGAGGGCTATTTTTGGCTTGGCACTCAGGAGCAGAACTGAGGTGTTCAGGTCGACCATATATGGTGCCAGGAATTTGAACCAGTATTGTGTGGCTGCCTCAGCAATATGCAAGGCAAGCCCCTTACCTCCTGTGCATCTCTCAGGATCTGGTTGTTTTTTTTTAGGGGGGGTTTGGGGGGGTTTGGCATATTTTTATATAAATTTTTCACAACATTTAACGTTTTTCTCCTGGCAGGCTCTGTGGGCCGTATGGGATGCTGGAGATAGAACCTGGGTCAGCTGTGTGCAAGGCAAATGTCCTTGCCACTGTACTTTCTCAATGCCCCTGAGATTTTTTTTTGTTTTTGTTTAGGGGGTACATGGTGTTGTTCACGACTTACTCCTGGCTCCACACTCAGAAATCACTCCTGGCAGTGCTCAGGGACCCATATGGAGGGCCATGAATCGAACCCATGTTGGCTGCAGGCAGAGCAAGCTCCCTACGTGCTGTGCTACCTGCCCCTCTGAGAAATGTTTGTTGATTTCACCAGTAGGGTAGGAATCTGAGTTCTTTTTCCTTCTGTCCTCTCTGCAGAATACTTCAGACTTTGTGCAGAAAACTAAAACTTCCTGAAGCTTTTCCGTTCCGCCATGTGGCACACCTGACGCCGGGCTTTGTGGGCGCCGACCTGATGGCGCTCTGCCGGGAGGCTGCCATGTGCGCCGTCAACAGGGTCTTACTGACGCTGCAGGAGCAGCAGAAGCCAGTGCCAGAGCCTGAGGGCTCGTCTCCAGGCAGGGCCCAGGAGGGAAGGCGTGGGACAGAGCTCACATCCGAAGCACAGGTTGAAAAATCCTCTTTAATTTATTATCAAAGTTTTCTAAATCCAAAAGTTTCAAGATGTAACTCTCAAGAGATTGTAACTTGTCTAAGGCCACAAGCCTCCATTTTTCATAACAGGGACTTAGATCGGGGTCTTTTATTTTTGTTTGTTTATTGGCTTTGATTTTGGGGCCACATCTGTTGTTTATCGGGGCTTCCTCCTGACTCTAGCTCAGGGATTACTCCTGGTGGTCTCAGGGACCGTATCGGGTGCTGGGGATTGAACCCGGGTTGCCACATGCAAGGCAAATGCCCTACCTGCTCTACGATATCTCTAGCCCCTACTTAGGTTATTTTTGGCCTTTCCTTCCTTTCTCTTCACAAAGCAAGAAAACTTTTGAAGTTTTAAGATTTGGGCCAGAGAGATCATGCAGCAGACAAGGTACTTGCTTTGCATGTGTCTGAGCCAGGTTTGATTCCCCAGCACCTCATATGGTCTCTGTGCCGTCTCTTCGGCTCCAGTTTTCATTATTTTCTATTTATGTATGTTTGCTATATTAGCCTTAGTGTAGTTGTTAACTTGTTAAAATTGTTCTTCCGGTCCGGAGAGATAATGCAGCAGGCAAGGTGCTTGTCTTTCATAAACTGAGCCAGGTTTGATTTTGGGGCCACATCTGTTGGTTATTGGGGCTTCCTTCTGACTCTAGCTCAGGGATTACTCCTGGTGGGCTCTGGGGTCACTCCTGGTAGTGCTCATAAGACCATGTGGAGCTGGGACTTGACCCCACAGCTCCTGCATGCTAAGCCTATGCTTAAGCCCTCTGAGCCATCTTGCTTATTTTAAGTGGTCATACGATTTAGTCTAAGATTTATATTCAACTTTTAAATATGTTATTTGAGTCTCAACCTAGCACTAGCGCACACTAGGTGCTCATGATCTTCTGAGCACTGTTGGGTGCCTTCTGTGAGCACAGAACCAGGAGTAAGCCCTGAGCACTGCTGAGTGCTCAACTATCAGAAAAAAGGTTAAAAAAAGAAAAATAATACATATTTGCCTACATTTGTTGAATATAAATCTTAGACTAAATCATATGACCACTTAAAATAAGGAAGATGGCTCAGAAGGCTGGAGCATAGGCTTAGCATGCAGGAACTGTGGGGTCAAGCCCCAGCTCCACATGGTCTCACGAGCACTGCCAGGAGTGACCCCAGGGCACTGCACCAGGAATAGCCCCCAGGTGTGGCTCCAAAACCAAAAATAACTAAATAAATTATAATAATCATAATAAATGTCATGCAACAGTTGAACTTAGTGAAATGCAGGGAACTTTGGTTTATTAAGCTGTTTTACTTTCTTTTTATTATAATAACTTTTAAAAGTAGGCAAAAGTAATTTTAGCTTGTTTTTCCTTCCTCCCCCAATTATTCCTTCCAGGATGAGTTGCAGCGGCTGCTGGGGCTGCTCAGAAACCAAGACCCCCTCCCGGAGGAGCATCTGCGCGGGCTGTGCATCGAGATGAATGACTTCACGGTTGCCCTCTCCTCAGTGCAGCCTTCTGCCAAAAGGGAGGGCTTTGTCACTGTCCCTAATGTGACGTGGGCAGATATTGGAGCCTTGGAAGATATCAGGGAGGAACTCACCATGGCCATCCTGGTAGGTGTGCTGGCTGCCATCCTTCACGTGGGTGCTGGGTGGGTGAGCATGCACAGGTACTAGGTTGAGACTCAAATAACTTGACTATGTTCTCTTTCATAAGTTCTGTTGTGTTGTTATTAAACCTTGAATAATAGTTTTTCCTTCTCCTGAGATGTTTTAGATTCTTTTGATTGTACTTGATTTTTTTGGGCAGGGGGGAGACTTTGGGGTGGCGGCAGACCCAGCTGCACTCAGGGATCACTCCTGACGCTGCTTGGGAGGACCACTTGGGGTACTGGGACTCAGACTTGGGTCGTCTTTAGGCAAGGCAAGTGCCCTGCCCACTTGGCTGTTTCAACCAGGACCAAGTTGAGCAATAGTTTTTGAATTTGATCATACTCTTTCTTGTCTCTTTTTTTAAAATAAAAAAACTAATTAAATTGGGGGCTGGAGAGATAGTATAGCGGGTAGAACACTTTTCTTACAGTTAACCTGAGTTTGATCTTTGCATCTTGTCTGGTCCCCCAGACCCAGGAGTAAGCCCTGAGTATATTCAGGTGTGGCCACAAATCCAAATAATACCAACAGCAACAACAATAGTAACTTATTTTATTTGGGAGGAGTTCCATCCAACAGTGCCGTGGGAGGAGGGATGGTTCCCTGTCTTGCTCAGAGCTTTGTATAGTGCTCAGGATCAGCACGGGTTTTATACATGCAACATAGGCTCTCTAGTATTTTGGACCACCCTGGCAGTTTTGGGGGTCGACTCCTACTTCACTGCTCGGGGGTTGCTCCCAGCTGTACTCAGGGGCTGTTCAGACTCAAGGCTCCAGCACGCAAAGCATGCTCAGTCCTTTGATCTAGCTCCTTGGCCCTTACATACATTCTTAAGAATCAAAACAGTTTTCACACCCACAAGAGTTTGGTTTCATTTTCATTTACCTTCCACTTTATCTTTTCATGGTTCGTGAGCGAGAGTGCAGTGTGTGAAACATTTATTATTATTATTATTATTATTATTAATTACATCTGTGTAATAACAGGTGAAATATACAGATGGCACAAAAAGTTGTCGCTGCCTCTGGATTATGTGGAACACCTGCTGCCTCTGTTTCTCTGTTTTTCTTTTTTCCCCTGGGTCACAGCTGGTTATGCTCAGGGGTTACTACTGGCTCTGCACCCAGGAATTGCTCCTGGTGGTGCTTGGGGGCTATATGGGATGCTGGGGTTTGAATCTGGGTCAGCTGTGTGCAAGGCAAACTCCCTATCCGCTATACCCTCTCTCCAGCTCCAGCTTCTGATTTCTTAAAAAGGAGGAGGGCAACACATAAAATCTTCATAATCTGGAAATTGAGATCATTTTACTGACTTCAATCTTTGGTATCTTTTTAGAGTTTTTTGGAGCCACATCCAATAGTGCTCAGGGCTTATTCCTGACTCTGCACTTAGGGATCACTCCTGGCAGGCTCAGAGGATTATATGAGGTGCTGGGGATCAGACCCCAGTTGGCTACAAGCAGGGCAGAGCCCTATGTGCCATACTGTTGCTTTGGTCCCACTGACTTCAGTCTTAAAAATGCTTGAAATGTGTGGCCTGGAAAAGTCAGGTGCTTGCCTTGCTCATGGCTGGCTGGGGTGCAAACCCCAGAACCAGATATATATGGCCGCCCTATCCACCAGAGGTGATCCCTGAACACAGCTGGTGTCCACATCCGCCTCCCAAAAAAAAGCATTTTCTAACATATTTAAATGTGAATTTCTCAGTGGGCTGTAGAGAGCACTGTAAGTAGGGGAACATGGTTTAAATGCAACCAGTCCTGGTTCCATCCCAGGCACTGTACAGGATCCACTGAGCGCTGCCAAGGATTGTTCCTGAGCACTGAGCCAGGAGTATCCATTAAGCACTACTGATGTGGCCCAAGTTGCTCTCTTCCTCAACCCATCCCCACAAAAACGTGAATTTCTCAAAACCAGGGACTTAAATTTTTGTACCTCATGCCTAGAACAGAGGTGAAGATTGGGCGTGCTGGTCACTTTCTCTTTAACCTCACAAATAGCACTGAGAATCCGCATCTGAAACCAGTCTGGATGTGCAGTCTAAAATGGGGGTTTGTCGCCTCTGCTTTCTAGGCACCGGTCCGGAACCCAGATCAGTTCAAAGCGCTTGGATTAGTGACTCCCGCTGGTGTTCTTCTTGCTGGTCCTCCTGGCTGTGGGAAAACGCTATTGGCAAAGGTTTGGTCAATGTTTTTTATTTCTTTGGGGTTGGGGGTGGGGGTGGAGAACACACCTTAGGAACAATTCCTGGCTCCTCTCTGGCATCTCTCCCTCTGGGTTGGGGCAGGGCCTGAAGTGGGGGCATGTCAGGCAGACCAGGTGCCATCAGGTTTCAAACCCAGGCCCCCTGCTTTCAGAGCCAGCACCTTGGCCTTCTGAGCTATAGCTCACCAGCTCTAGAAGTTTAATTTCTGTCGATCGAGCAAGGTGTATAATACAGATTAGAGAGTATAAGGCAAATCAGGGAGTATAATACAAATATTTGGACTTGGATTTGGAGCCATACCCTGCAATAGGCAAAGCTTACTCCTGGCTCTGTGCTCAGGGATCTCCCTTGGCAGAGACTATATGTGGTGCCGAGGAAATCGAACTGGGGTCAGTGCGGGCAGGGCAAGTACTTGTACGTCAGGGTTCTCTCCAGCCCTCACATCATTAGCATTTCTCATAACTGGATCCAAGTTACTTCATTCGTGAGTAAAGGTAAAGGTAAAGGTAAAGGCCCTCCTGTTGATCGTCGATTTGCTCGAGCGGGCCCAGTAACGTCTCCATTGGAGACTTTTGTTGTTACTGTGTTTGGCATATCGAATACTCTCGGTAGCTTTGCCGGGCTCTCCGAGAGGGGCGGAGGAATCGAACTCGGGTCGGCCATGTTGGCCGCTTGTAAGGTGACCGCCCTACCCGCTGTGCTATCGCTCCAGCCCCATTCGTGAGTAAATTTCAAATATGCATATTGTCATTTTATGTACATTGGTGTGCATATATATGTGTGTGCCCTTACTTGCATGGTAGTTTCTGCCTCTGTTGCCAAGTTTCCTTCATGCTTCCAGCAGCACTGCTGTGCCTGAGAGCCGTGAAGCAGTGTGAGCAAGGGAGAGCAGGGGGGAATCGCCAGGCGCTAAGTTCTAAGAATAGGAAGAGACTTTATTCCGTGATAATTTTTTTTTTTTTTTTTTTTTGCTTTTTGGGTCACACCCAGCGATGCTCAGGGGTTACTCCTGGCTTTGCACTCAGGAATTACTCCTGGCGGTGCTCAGGGGATCATATGGGATTGCTGGGATTCGAACCCAGGTTGGCTGCATGCAAGGCAAACGCCCTACCCGCTGTGCTATCACTCAAGCCCCACATGATAATTTCGAAGTTCTGAAGGATTTTATTCAGGTTTCATCTTCCACCATTCAGATGGTAATTCTTAGATTCTTTTACACATATAACTGTCTTCTTCTCTTTTGGTCTTTGGCTTTCAACCAAGCAGTTGAATCTTAATTTATTGAGAATAATCTGTAAATACTAACCTTGGTGAAGACTACTGATGTGTTTGAATTTTATTAATAAATGATTGATTCTTCTCATTGAGCAAGGTAGTTTTTGTTGCAGATTATGATGTCACTTCAGTTACAAGTATGGGGGCTGGCATGATAGTACAGCAGGCAGGGCACTTGTCTTGCACACAGCTGACCCGGGTTCAATCCCTGGCACCACATACGGTCCCCCAAGCACCACTAGCAACGATTCTTGAGCACTGAGCCAGCAGTATACCCTGAACACAGCCAGGTGTGGCCTCAGAACAAAACAAAAAGAAAAACAATTCCAAGGAGGTCTACATATTTGTTAACATAGGTATCATTTTGTTAGTGAAGCATTTACATAAATATTTAGTGTCATTTTCATCTGATTTCTAACTCTAGTAATTCTTAAAAAGTTTTAGATTGGCATTTACTTCCCTTTCTTTCCGTTTATCTATTTCTCCTATTCCCATTTGTCCTCTTTTGTAATTAAAAAGAGCTACTTATAAAAGGAGAGAATAAATACTAACACAGAAAGTGTTTGCATTGTCACAAACCACTGTTCCTATTATTTTATTGCCTGTTTGTCTGATTTGTGTTTTTGTTCACTCTTACTAGGCTATTGCAAATGAATCTGGACTAAATTTCTTATCTGTCAAGGGTCCTGAGCTGCTAAATATGGTAAGTTTTATGGCAGTAGCCATTTATTTTGGATTAGGCAAAGTATAATTGGTCATTGAGGCTACAGGGCACAGTATCTTTAGATCTTTGGGAGAAAGAGTTGTGACATTTTGGTGAGCCTTTTAGCAGCCCCGGGAGCAAAGTGCTGTGATTGGAGTGCATGCTCAGTATGTGTAAGACCCTGGCTCCATGCCTGCCTTTCCTCTCCCCATCCAGAGAGGAGTGTCACTGTGGCCCCTGCATACCCATGGCCACACATTGTCAGGAGTGACTCCTGGCCTCCAGGCTTTGCTGGAAATGAGAGAGAGATTGAACTTTGTTCTATTGAACTTACTATGTGTATATGCTTTTTAATTGCATCTGTTCATGGCTGAGCCTATTTTCCTTTCTCAAAATGTTACAAAATTACAATGATAAAAGTTAAGGTTTTGGGAAGTGGAAAGAAGGTATTGGTCCACTTCCTGCGGGGCTCAGGATTCACTCCTAGTGTTGCTTGTACCCCATATGCGGAGTTCAAATCCTGATTCATCAAGGCACTGTAGGATCTCCCAACCCCAATTGTTATTTTAAAATGTTTACTTTGCTGTGTGTTTCTGTGGAACACCTTGCATACATTGTTTTTAGCAACCCAATGAGATGTGAATCATTTCCTCTGATTCATTGATGAGAATGTATCAGTTTGGAGAGTTGTATGAGTTGGCCATAGCCTGACTTGCTAGAAAGTAGTACTGAGAGTTGAATCTAGGTTATCTGCTTCCTGATCCAGTTTCCTGGCCTTAATATTGTGTGCACAAATGAGTTTAAGTATTAATGAATAAAAATACTTTGAGGAGGGCAGAGGGATAGTTTAGGAGGTAAGACACTTGCCTTTCAGGTAGCCATTACAGCTGACCCTGCTTTGACCTCTAACACCTCATATGGTCCTGTGTGCATTGCCAGGGGTCACTCCTGACCACAAAGCCAGGAATAACCACTGACCACCATTGGTTTGTGGCCTAAACCTCCCAGCCCTTTAAAAACAAGAAGAAACTTTTGGGGAAAGAAATCACTAAAGAGCTATATAATATAATATCTTCTTTCTATATTTAATTTTATACCCTCAATTAAAGACCGTGAATTTATTTCCATAAAAAGTAAAACAGGGGCCAGAACGACACTGCAGTACAGTGCCTTGCACACAGCCAATCGGGTTTGACCCCCGGCATCCCATATGGTCCCCCAAGCACCACCAGGAGTAATTCCTCAGTGCAGAGCCAGGAGTAACCCCTGAGCATCGCTGGGTATAACCCAAAAAGTGAGGGGGAAAAAAAGTAAAACAACAAACAGGTCATAATATATTCCAGGAAATGAGAATGGTATTGTTTTCAAAGCCTGGTAAACATTACGACTTTCATGTTCTGTTTCTTACTTTTTATGTGACTTTCTTCCTGAAACAATGGATTTATGTTTAAGGTCTTCCTGTCAGCTTTCTGTACACCTGTTTACTTGTACTTGATATGACTTTTTAGTAAAAGAGGCATTAAAATGAGACTCGAAGGGAAGGGACTTTGGGGGGGATGTATCCGGAAAAAGAGGTTATAGCCAGTTGGTGAGGGCCTTTGCACCAACCTAGTGTTTGCGGTTGGGGTGGAGGCTTTTGGGCCATACCCAGTAGTGCTCGGGCAGTTTCTCTCTCTACTCAAGATTGATTCCTGGCAGTGCTCAGGAAACTACACTTGGGCTGGAATTGAACTGGTTGGGGTTGACCGTATATAGGACTGGCAGTCCTTAGCTCCTTTACTACCTCTCAGCCCCTAGAATTTGAGTTTTATCTTCAGAATATCAGAGAGCTTTCAGAAATGTAACTTTGTATTTTTGTGTATGACAAGAAAGGCTTTCCTTGGTTTGGGGGTCATTCTCAGTGGTGCTCAGGGATTCCTTCTGCCTCTGTTCAGAGATCACTCCTGATAGTGCTGGGGGACCATTTGCGGTGCTGGGGATCCAAATGGGGGCAGTCACTTTACCTGCTGTCCTATTTCTCCAACCCTAGCCTAGGAGATTTTAGGTGGTAACAGCTATTGGAGATAGCAGTTGGCAGTAGAAACTGAGTCTAGTACTCCCAGGAGACTTAGCACTCAGCATCGTCTGAATGGTATTTGAGTCCTGGCACAGACTGTGTCTGCAGGAGCAGTGTTGGTGGATGTGGGTGGGCTGGGTCACTCCCCAGTGGCCACTCTCCAGCAGCTCATCAGGGTCATGCCAGTAGTGCTCCAGGGGCCTTGTAGTGCTAGGCAGATATTGTGCATTCCACACATGTGTTCCAACCCCTAGAAATGAATAGTGTGAAAGAGGGTGTCAAGTCAATGCAGCAGGGAGGGCATTTGCCTTACACGCTGCAGACCTGGGTTTCATCCAGTATCCCTTATGGTTCCCCTGAGCACTGTCAGAAGTAATTCCTGAGTACAGAACTAGGAGTAACTCCTGAGCATTGCCAGGTGTGACTTCCGTCCCCCCCGGCCAGAGAGGGTATCTATGGCAAGAGTGATAGTATAGCAGGTAGGGCACTTGCCTTACACATGACTTACTTAGGTTCTTTTTTTTTGGGGGGGTGGGGGTTACACCCAGACTGGCTCTGCACTCAGGAATTACTCCTGGCGGTGCTTGGGGACCATATTGGATGCCGGGGATTGAACCCAGGTCGGCCGCATGCAAGGCAAAGGCCCTGCCCGTTATGCTATCACTCCGGCCCAGACCTACTTAGGTTCTATCCCTGGCACTACACAGGTCCCCTGAGCCCAGCCAGGAGTGATCCCTGAGCACAGAATCCAGTAGTTAGCTCTGAGAACTGCGAGGTGTTCCCCAAAGGGGGAGTGGAGGGGAGGGGAAAGAGGGTCTCTAACAAACCCTGAAATGCCTTGCCCCATGTGGGCCAGGACAAAGATGACGAAAGAGACCGATTGACTGGAAGGTGTAGGATGTAAAAAATGTTTTAAACCTTAAAAGCAAGGGAAGAAAATTTATTTTTTTATTTTATTTTCATAAAGTTGTTCACAGTGATAACATTCAATATTTCAACACCAGTTCTACCACCATTACACCTTTCCCCCACCATTATTTCGTATTTTCTCATACCACTAAAGCCTGCCCCACAGGCAGATGCTAAATTATTTTGTATTGCTTGTTAAGAATAGTATAGGATGTCTCTGAAGCGGCTGTGCACTCCTGGGTATCCATGACAGCCAGGACACCGGCTGGGCAGGGAGAGGGAGGGATGACCCATACCATGTGGCCTGGAGTTTTCAATCACTTATCCTGCCTGGGTTTTTTTCTTCTGGAGGTTTGTGGCCACCGGGGTTCATTCGGAGCAGGCAGAGAACGCCTACTCCATCTGAAGCGTCCTGGTGAGATCAGCTTGGCATGGGGTCTGGAGTCATCTGTCTTCTGAGATTCATTTGTGAGTCTCAGGATCATAACCGTTAATCTTAAATTTTTTTTTTTTAACTGTAGTCAGTGTAACCAGACAGCATAAATGACACTGGCAGTAGACTTTGGTTTAGTAGTTGTTGTAATTTAGTAGTTTATCTAGGTGTTAATGATTTTAAAGAGAATATTTTCCCTAGCTGTCTTTGTGAAAGCCAGAATATAATGATGTAGAATAGCACAAGTATTTAACAGTGGAACATAAGGTAAGAGGAAGAAACAGGGAATAATTCCAGGAAAGGTAAATGAGGATCTTGCAGACCTCAGGGCGAACTATTGGGCGTTTGCTTGGAAAACAGCTTAAGGGAAGAAAGGAGAGTGAACAAAGCACAAAGGCCAGTCCAGGACAGCCGGGGCAGAAATAAAATTCTACTGAGAAATACTGTAAAGTGGAAAGATACAAAATCGGTAGACAAATACCTGGTGCATTTCTTTTCATAAACTGTGAATGAGAGAAAAGACAAATTAGGAAAACAGTCCCATTTACAGTTTTATTTAAAAAACTAAGATGCTTGGGAGGGAACTTAACAAAGGAGGTGAGATAGCTATGCTTTGAAAATTATAGCATCACTAATAGAATAAAGGATACAGATAAGTACAGTATTTTTTAATAATATAATTATTATATAATTAAGATAAATAATATAATAATAGTAATTATACCGTGTTGTAACGTCTCCATTGGAGACTTTGTTGTTACTGTGTCTGGCATATCGAATACTCTCGGTAGCTTGCCGGGCTCTCCGAGAGGGGCGGAGGAATCGAACTCGGGTCGGCCATGTTGGCTGCGTGCAAGGCAGACGCCCTACCGCTGTGCTATCACTCCAGCCCCGTGCTATCGCTCCAGACTAAACATTGTTAAAATTGCCATACTGTCTGAAGCAGTTTACAGATTTAATGTTACCCCAGTCAAAATTGCACTGGCATTTTTCAAGAAGAGCAAACAACCCCAGCATTTGTACAGAACTACAAAAGACTCTGAAGCAAGACCCTGAAGCACAAAAAAATTCTGAGGGAAAAAAAAGGAGGTATTTGAGTTGGAGAGATAGTACAGCTTTTTACAAGACTGACCCGGGTTGGGTCCCCGGCATCCTGTATGGCCCCCTGAACCCCAACAAGAATAATTCCTGAGTGTAGAACACTTTGCCCCCGCTCCTCCCCCCATCCCCAAAATGGAGGTATCTGATTCTGAGTTTATTTTTAAAATATGGTATCAGAACAGAAGTAGAGACATAGACCAATGGAATAGTATTAAGTGCCCAGAAATAAAGTCTACAGATAGAGTTAATTTATAATAGTGGAGTTGCAAGCATACAGTGGAGGAAAAAAATCCTGTTTCACAAATCCTGCTAGGAAAACTGTATGCAAGAAAGTAAAACTAGGTCATTATTTAATGCCATACACAAAAATGAACTCAGGGGCCAGAATGATCGTACAAGTAGGGCACTTACCTTGCACATGACGTTCCAGCATTCTGAATCATGACATTTGATCCTCATCATTTCATATCATCCCCCAAGCTCAACAGAGTGATCCCTGAGCACAGTGCCAGGAGTAAGTCCTGAGTAATGCTGGGTATGTCCTTCCCACCCCCACCCCCACCCCCCAAGAAACCTGACTGATTGAAGATGGATTATTTGGATATAAAACTGAAACCATAGGGGCTGGAGCGATAGTACAGAGGGCAGGGCGTTTGCCTTGCACGCGGCCAACCTGAGTTTGATTCCCAGCAAGCATCCCATATGGTACTCCTGCACTGCCAGGAGTAATTCCTGAGTGCAGAGCCAGGAGTATCCCCTGAGCATCGCCCGGTGTGACCCAAAAAAGGAAAAAAAAAATGAAACTATAGAATATATAAAATAAAAATAAAATGTGGCAGTAGCTCTTGGACATTAGTTAATGTCTCCTGAGTGTCAATTTTAGTATCAAATGAAACGAAAGCAAAACTAATCGCGTCACTTTTGTTCAGTTCAGGAAACATCCACAAAAATAAGAAGACATCCTACTAAGAGAAGATAATTTCATATCAGACAAGGAGTTAATATCTGAAATACACCGAGATCAGCACAACTCAGGAATGAAAAAACAACTTAATTTTTAAAATTTATAGGAGATTTAAAAACAGACACTACTTTGAAGAAGGCAAACAGTACATGGGTTGGGGCGTGGGAGTCCAACTTATTTTATTTTAAGGAAATACTTATCAAAACCCTAGGGAGATTTTGAAAACAAGTGTTGGTGAGAGCATACTGGAAAAGAACCTTTATAACATAACCACTAGCAATACGATTCCCGGGCATTTTTCTGAAGAATACAGATTCTATCAAAAAATGTAAGTGTGGTCTGGAGACTGCCTGGAATAAACAGTGATACTGAACACATCGCCGAGATTAACCTGGGCACAGTCCCACCCACCCCTCTCCCCAGAACATATGTGTATCTTTATGTTCATAGCATCACTATTCATAATAGCCAAGTCATAAAGACAATCTAAATACTTATCAGTAGATCACTAGATAGAGAAGTTGTGTTATACTTAATAGAATAGAACTCAGCTGAGGCTGGAGCCATAGCACAGCAGGTAGGGCGTTTGCCTTGCAAGCGGCTGACCTGGGTTCAATTCCCAGTGTCCCATATGATACCCCCAGCACCGCTATGAGTAATTCCTTAGTGCAGAGCCAGGAATAGTTCCTGAGCACCGCCGGGTATGACCAAAAAAAAAAAGAACAGTACTCAGCTGTTGCTCGAGCGGGCCCAGTAACGTCTCCATTGGAGACTTTGTTGTTACTGTGTCTGGCATATCGAATACTCTCGGTAGCTTGCCGGGCTCTCCGAGAGGGGCGGAGGAATCGAACTCGGGTCGGCCATGTTGGCCGCTTGTAAGGCGAACGCCCTACCCGTCGGGCTGGAGCGATAGCACAGCGGGTAGGGCGTTCGCCTTACAAGCGGCCAACATGGCCGACCCGAGTTCGATTCCTCCGCCCCTCTCGGAGAGCCCGGCAAGCTACCGAGAGTATTCGATATGCCAGACACAGTAACAACAAAGTCTCCAATGGAGATGTTACTGGGCCCGCTCGAGCAAATCAACGATCAACGGGAGGGCCTTTACCTTTACCTTTACCTTACTCAGCTGTTAAAATTAAATCTTGCTTTTTTTTCCAGCAACGTGAATGGAACTTTTAAGTGACTGTGCTAGGAAAAATCGGAAGGTGAAAAGACAAATACCGGATGCTTTCTTTCATGTGAAATATAAATAATAAGCTAGCACATTGTACTAAAAAAAAAACTCGTTGGCCAGCTGGCCAATGTATCCTTGTCCTGCAGAATGCTGGGTTCGGTCCCTGCCATCACCTGGACTCCTGAGCACCAGCAGGAGTAGCACCCAAGTACCACTAGGTGCGGCCCAGAAATAGAAATATGGGAGTAGGATAGCAAATTTGTTTTATGTACATTTAAAAGGAATGTAGAGGGGTAACATAACTATGTATCCAAACTGCAGAATCTGTAACACTGAAAGAGAAAGTCCAAACCAAAACCACCAAACTTAAAAATAAATGTGCCTGTCAAAGATGCAGGATGGGGTTGGTTGGGGGTGGAGACACAGTGGAGGGAAGTTGACACTGGTGTGGGCTTGGTGTTGGAACACAGGGTGCATAAACCTCAACCATGGATAACTTTGTAAATCAGTGTCTTCATAAAAAAAAATTTTTTTTTTAAATTCTATAGTTGAATGAAAATTCTTACTGGGTATTTCCTAGGAGTTACATTTATTCTAAATAATACATTAATTCTAAAATTCAGTAGAATTTGGGGATTATTTTTTAACCTAGAAAAGACTTTTCATTCCTTTTTAAAAAACTAGGATTTTTGTAATTTTATAATAGATTATATTATTACTTTGAGCCAACACAATGGACAGATACAGAAATGGGTGGACAGGAGTCTGCCCTGAGCACTGCTGGGTGTGGCCCCCACAACAAAGCAGAAATGGTTTGATGTGAGTAGATACATTTGGGTTGACCTATTACTTTTTTTTTTCTTTTTGGGTCACACCCAGCAATACTCAGGAGTTACTCCTAGTTGTGCACTCAGGAATACTTTTGGCGGTGCTTGGGGGAAACCATATGGGATGCTGGGAATCAAACCTGGGTCAACCGTGTGCAAGGCAAACGCCCTACCCGCTGTCCTGTCGCTCCAGTCCAACCTAATACTTTTTGACATACATTACTCTAGATCTGAGACACAGAACTTGGTTTGTTGTAATTTGGCCCAAACCCAACTGAACCATCTCTACACTCTCGTTTCCTTTTCGGGGTGTGCAGTACGTCGGGGAGAGTGAGCGAGCTGTGCGGCAGGTCTTTCAGCGGGCCAAGAACTCGGCGCCCTGTGTGATATTCTTCGATGAAGTGGACGCTCTGTGCCCTCGAAGGTCAGACCGCGAGGTAGGAGGATCAAGCTCTTGTAATGCCATGTGATTCTAGTGAAGCCAGATGTCTCTGTTTTTATTGACTTCAGGCAATAAGAGTGGGCCTCTTTTGGTTGGCCCAGCAGTGATAGTGCAGGCCTGAGGCTTGGACCTGGAAGTGCCCAGGCCATCAGGCCAGGCCAACACTTGGCAGTGCCAAGATGGGGGTTGGGCGAGCAGTGCTATGCCAGGGATTGAACATTGGCCCTTAAGCTGGGTCACACCATGGTCAAGCGTGAGGCCAGCTATCTCCCTTGCCCAATATAGTTTCTTGAGATGAAGAAAAGCTAGCATTTGAAATTGGCCTTGGGGTTAAATTTTTATTAACCCCTCTGGCCATTTTCTCTCTATCATTTTGGTTCCATATCTGACTCACATAAATAGTTGGAAATGGAAATAGTAGTTTTGAGTAATCAGGAGGGTTTTTTTGGGGGGGGGTCACACCCAGTGATGCTCAGGAGTTACTCTTCACTTTGCACTCAGGAATTGCTCTTGGCAGTGCTTGGGGGACCATATGGGATTCCAGGGATCGAGCCCAGGTTGGTCATATGCAAGACAAACACCCTACCTGCTATACTATTGCTCCAGCCCCAAGATTTTGTTTTTTTTAGGTTTTTTTTTTTTTCCTCCCCAGGTTTGTATTATTCTCCTCAAGTTCTCTTCAATTTAACAGGTTCTTAAGACAGGCCCAAATGTCATTTAAGGTGCCATATATCCTAAAGTTCATGTGGTATGCTTTCAGCCGTGACTCCAGTGCTCTAGGGAAGATGGATGCTTCGTCTCCATTGAGGACCCACTAGAGATGGTGGTTGCTCCAAGCTTCGTAGAAGTCTCAGTACAGTGAATGGAGAAACCTTTGTCGTCAGGAGTGCCATAGTTTAAGAGTGTAGAGCCCAGCAAAGCGTTCTATAAAGAGTATAGAACCACCTGCAGTAGCAGTGCAGGGAGTGAGTCGCTTGCCTTGCATGCGCCACCCCCTGTTCAAACCTAAACACTGCATATGGTTCCCGGACAGAAGCGATCCCTGACCACAGAGGCAGGAGTCCGTGCTGAGCACACTGGATGGGGCCCAAAAAACCAACAGAGCAGTATAGAAGCAGGGCCAGACAGAGAGCTCAGTGGGCTGGTTTTATGTGAGGAGAAACTTGGTTGGGTTCCTTGGACTTCATGTACTCCTCAGGCATACCCCGGAATGACCCTGATTATCAAGCCAGAAGTAGCCATGGGTCACTGTGCTAGATGGAGCCCAAAAAAAAGAAACACACCCCCCCCAAAAGAAAAAAGAAGGAAAGGAAACAAAGAATATGTAACCATTTTATTTTTGATTATTTATTTATTTTTGCTTTTTGGGTCACACTTGGCAATGTACAGGGGTTGCTCCTGGCTCATGCACTCAGGAATCACTCCTGGCAGTGCTCAGGGGACCATATGGGATGCTGGGAATCAAATCTGGTTCGACCTCGTGCAAGGCAAACACCAAACACCCTACCCGCTGTGCTATCACTTCAGCCCCATATGTAACCATTTAAAAGCAAGAAGAAAAGCTTAATGAAACATATTTCACAGAAGACTCAGGACCATGGAAATTCTCTGGCAGGGAATGTGTGTGAGAGCCTGGCTGCTCACCCATGCACCAGATAAAACAACAGAAAGCTGTACCCGTTAGGATTTTATTGAATAGTTATTTTGTGTGGGTATTCTTAGGTTGCTGAAACATTTATTTCATCAAATACTTCATCTTGCTTAAAATCTCCAGAAATATGCAAAAGTTGAAATAAAAGTTCATACCTGTGCAGAGAGGCAGGATTCGACCTGAGCACTGCTGGGTCACAAGCATGTCCCCAAGGCATGTCCCCCGTCTATAGGGGCTGGAGAGGTAGTTGACTAGCTAAGGTGCTTGTCTTGCATGCATCTGACCTGGCTTCAGTCCCCAAATCACATGCCATACCCCAAGCACTGCCAGGAGTGATTCCTGAGCACCAAGTCAGGAGTCGGCCCTGGGTACCACTGAGTGGTGTCGCCCAAAGGCAAAAAAACTACCAGTTACATAATTCCTACCAATGGAGGAGAAAAAGAACCTGTTCCCACATCTTTGTCAGCAGGGGCTAATACTGAACTTTCAATTTTTGTCAGTTTTATTGACAAAATATGCTGTTAAATTTTGGTATTCATGCCCCTAATTATTAGAGAGCAGTTTCATCTTAATGATAATTTGCATTTTATCATGTGTTTTTACTCTTTTTTTATTGAAACATGTTTCATTTTTATTGATTTATTGAAATTTTATGTGTAAAAGGAATTACTCTTTTTCCAGCTTTATGTGAAATATGTAATTTTACCAAGTAAAATCTATCATCCTCTTTCGATGTAATTTCTTAGTATATTTTTTTAATTTGTTGTTGTTATTGTTGTTTCTTAGCATTTTTAATTATTTAAAATTTATTACTATTATTATTTTTTTAATTTACGTTGGACTGGAGTGATAGCACTGTTGGTAGGGCATTTGCCTTACATGCGCCTGACCTGGGTTCAATTCCTCTGCCCCTCTCGGAGAGCCCGGCAAGCTACTGAGAGTATCCCATCCCCATGGCAAAGCCTGGCAAGCTACCTGTGGCATATTTGATATGCCAAAAACAGTAACAAGTCTCACAATGGAGATGTTATTGGTGCCCACTCAAGCAAATCAATGAACAATGGGAGGACAGTGCTACACTGCTATTTATGTTAATTGAGCCCAGCAAGTTACCGAGAGTATCTCACCCGCATGGCAAAGCCTGGCAAGCTACCCATGATGTATTCGATATGCCAAACACAGTAACACAATTGTCACAATGGAGACATTACTGGGCCCGCTCGAGCAAATCGATGAACAACGAGAGGACAGTGACAGTGACAGTGAGTCACTGTGAGATACAGTTACAAAGTTATTCATGATTTGGTTTCAGTCATTCAATGTTCCAGCACTTATCCTTTTTTGTTTTTTTTAATTTTATTGAATCACCGTGAGATAGTTATAAGCTTTCATGTTTGGGTTACAATCACACAGTGATCAAACACTCATCCCTCTACCAGTGCACATTCCCCACCATCCGGTATACCCTGGTATAGCCCCCTTTTCCACCCTTCCTCCGCCTCTGTGGCAGACATTATTCCCCATAATCTCTCTCTACTTTTGGGCATTATGGTTTGCAATACAGATCCTGAGAGGTTATCATGTTTGGTCCTCTGCTTTCTGCACACATCTCCCATCCCAACCGGTTCTTCCAGCCATCTTTTTCTTAGTGATCCCTTCTCTATTCCAGCTGCCTTCTCCCCTTTGCTCATGAGGCAGGCTTCCAGCTGTGGAACAATCTCTGTCCCATGTATGTACTGTCCTTAGGTGTCAGCCTCATGTCATGTTGTTTTATACTCCACAAATGAGTGCAGTCCTTCTGTGTCTGTCCCTCTCTTTCTGACTATTCATTTCACTTAGCTTGATACTCTCCAAGTCTATCCATTTATAAGCAAAGTTCATGACTTCATCTCTTTTGGCAGCTGCATAGTATTCCATTGTGTAGATGTACCAAAGTTTCTTTAACCAGTCATTTGTTCTAGGGCACTTGGGTTGTTTCCAGATTTTTGGCTATTGTGAACAGTGCTGCAATGAACATATAGGTACAGATGTCATTTCTGCTGTGCTTTTTTGCATCCTCAGGATATATTCCCAGAAGTGGTATTGCAGGGTCATATGGTAGCTCAATTTCTAGTTTTTGAAGGACTGTCCACATTGTTTTCCAGAAAGACTGGACTAGTGGGCATTCCCACCAACAGTGAAACAGTGTCCCTTTTTCCCCACATCCACGCCAGCACTGGTTGCTTTTGTTCTTTTGAATGTGACAGCGCCTGTCCTTTCACCATTGTATATTTCCCACCACCGGTATCCCCAGTCTTCCGCCTGCTCCCCCAGTCCCACCTTTCTGCCTCCATCGCAGGCTCTTTTCTCTCTCTCTCTTTCTCGCTCTCTCTCTCTCTCTCTTTCTCTCTCTCCCTCTCTTTTCCTCTCTCTCTCTTCTCTCTCTCTCTCCTCCTTTTCTCCATCTCTCTCCCCCTCTCCCTTTGTCTCTCTCTTTTTTCCTTTTGGGTCACACCCAGTGATGCTCAGGGGTTACTCCTGGCTCTGCACTCAAGAATTATTCTTAGTGGTGCTTGGAGGATCATATGGGATGCTGGGGATTGAACCTAGGTCGCTTACATGACAAACATCCTCCCCACTATGCTATTGCTCTGACCCCTGCTTCTCTCTCCCTCCCCCCCCCCCCGCCCCGATCCTCCCCCCCTTAGACATTATGGTTTGCAATACAGGTACTGCGAAGTAATTGTGTTTGTTTCTTTACCTGCTTTTAATACACAATTCTTATCCAGGTGATCATTTCCAGCTGTCTTTGTCTTAGTGATCCTTTCTCTATCCCAGCCTCTTGTGGCAAGCTTCCAACCGTGGACCAATCCTCCTGACCTTTGTTTCTGCTGTCTTTGGGTATTAGTCTCATATTATGATTTTTTATATCCCACAAATGAGTATAATCATTCTATGTCTATCCCTCTCTTTCTGACTCACTGCACTTAGCATGATACTCTCCATGTCCATCCATTTATAAGAGAATTTCATGACTTCTTTTTTTCCAGGACTTTTTTTCTTGGCGAGGTAGGATGATTTCTATTTACCCAATGCTTTTTTATTTCTTCGTCCTGGATTGTTCTTTTCATTTCCTAAAAGAGACATGTTAATACTTTGATTTCTCTTCAAATCAAAGAATCTTCTACCTTTTAGTAAAATAAAAACCAAAAATGTTTGCTGTAGGTAGCCAGGGAGGGAGCCCAAGGTGTACCAACTATTTTTGCTTAAGGGGGCCAGAGAGATTATCCAGAAGGTAGAGATAGTCCAGTGCACACAGTAGGTCTAGGTTTGATCCCTAGCACCTCATATGCTCTCCCAAGCCTTGCCAGGAGCTATCCCTGAGCACCCAGAAGAAGAACAAACAAAAGGAATTACTCAGATATATTATCTTGTACTTAAATATATGTGTGGAAGAAAAGCAGTTAATGACCAAAAGATCAGCACTCACTTTTCGTTTTTCCCATTGCATGTTTTCAAAATTCTCTGTGATGTGCCCTGTTTTTGCCAGCTCCCTGCAGCTGTCTCTTGATTGTTGCCCGAGAGAGCCATATGCTGTTCTGTATGCTCTGAGGATAAGAGAACCACCTTTTTTGTCCAGTGAGGAGCTCCTGCACATCTGATACCCTGGTGAATCTGGCCAGGCTTGCAAAAGCTGCATCTAGATTAGCCCACAGGGAAGTTCACTGTGGCTGTTAGGGCTTTGTGTAACTTGGTTGCATGGGACTTTTGGATCAGCTTGACATGAGCTTGAATTTCATCTCTTCCTTTAGCCATGAGACCTTGGACAAATAATTTGCCTCTTTTGGCTTTTGTTTCCTCACGGAAACTGAATAATAACAGGATTACTTTGAAAGCATGCTGTGGAAAATGCCTTTTGCATAACACTTGAATTTAATGATCTCAAAACAAAAAGTCTTCTCTTTTGACAAAAGCTTTCATTTATGTTGGAATTTTATTTTGTAAGGGAAAAGTTGGTGACATTTTCTTCTAAATTAGTAGCTGAAGGATCTGTGCTTACTCTTTTTTTCCTTCAGACAGGGGCAAGTGTGCGGGTGGTGAATCAGCTTCTCACAGAGATGGATGGTCTGGAAACGCGCCAGCAGGTGTTTATTATGGCAGCTACTAACAGGCCAGGTAAGAGCAAAGAACTGTTTTAGTCAAAATAGTTGAGTCCCAACGCTTCCGGCATCCAAATCCAATATGATGACTTACATCCTAGTAAAAGATTTGGTTTGAGAAGTCCGTTTTTGGTTTTGGTTTTTTGGGCCACACCTGGCGATGCTCAGGGCTTACTACTGGTGCTGCTCAGAGTATCATGTGGAATGCTGGGAATCGAACCCAGGTCAGCCACGTGCAAGGCCAGTGCCCTACCTAAAACTGTCCTAACTCTCTAGCCCTTGAGAAGTTCCTTTTTGGTTTATAATTTGAAATAAAGTCTTAGAAAGCTTTAATATAATCCATCCTAAAAATTGTCTTACTACTGCTTACTGTGGGATGGTTTTTCTCTGATGGTACTCAGAAAGGTGTTTTGTTGGCAGAGAAACTTTGTACATGTACCTTTGACTACAGATGCATTATCAGTATGTATGGTACTTTTTTTCTCAAGCTTTCAGGAAACAAGAACTGGACTCTTTAGATTCTGTTCTAGAGCCTTGTCTCTATAAGTACTAGTTTACACTAACTAGTACTTAATTCTTTACAAGCTTGGTACAGCAGGTAGGGTGCTGGCCTTGCATGCGGCCGACTTAGCTTCGATCCAGGGCACTGAATATAGTCCCTTGAGCCCTACCAGGATTGATTCCTGAGCGCAGAGCCAGGAGTAAGTCCTGAGTACTGCTGACTGTGACCTCCAGAGATAAGCAAAAATTCCTTACAAGCTTAGGTACTCTGTGAAGGATTAGAAAAATGCTCAAGACTTCCTAAGTGCTGAGGGTGGCTTTTATGTTGGATTCCTGGTTCTCTTCATATTTAATGCTTGGCCATATGAGCCAGTCTTGAAAAATTGCCCTCACATTGTTACTTGTGTTAATAATGTTTGCTAGCAGTGATCCAGTCCCTGAACTGATTCAATGAATTTTGCTCTTGTGAAGCTCATGTAGTTTTTCATATCTTGTAAAACTGTGGCAACAAAAACTTTCATGAATTATCCACCTTTCTCTTATTGTTTTTTAGTTTTCTTGAATGTTATTTTTTATTTTGTGGGGGAGGCTTTTTGGATCATACCTGGCACTCTTTAAGGGTTACTCCTGCCTCTGCACTTAGGGATCACTCCTAGCAGTGCTCGGGATGATATGGGATGCAAACTCCGTACCCACTGTACTGTTGCTCTGGCCTCCAGCCACCGTTCTCTTTTAACTGAGCAATGGAAACCACTTAATAATGATAAGAATACTGTTTCAGAATGATATGGAACTGGATTTGTGTCGTGACTACACCCTTCTAAGTCACTGTTCTGTTTCGACTCAGAATAACAGTGGAGTCACCGCTCATTCTCTCCTGACACTGACTCCGGAAGTGCTGTCACATCCTGCAAGTGGACGGGTCATTTCTCCACAGGACTGTCCCCATTTCAGACATGACCCTCACCTGAAGTCCCACACGCCTGCACTTGTGATCTCTCTGCTACAAAGCGGAGGGTTTCCATGACCCCGTGGGGTGCAGTGGCCAGTTCGGAGAACTCCCCCAAGATTGCCTGGGCACAGTGTGGGTGCAGGTGCTCTTTGACAAGGAGTCGGCCACCAACTCCCCACACATGAGTGTGTTTGTCAGCAGGTCTTGGCCTTAGGCTTGGGGACCCAGAGTTCTTATTGAATATTATTACATAACCGTCAGATTAGCACTATGGCTCTTAGGGCAGACTCCAGTTCTTCCTACTCCCAGAGTCCTGCCCTCTAATCACAAGATTGGTCTTTCTGCTGACCAGCCCCAACCCTGGGCTGTCTTGGGCTGCACATTGAATCAGCCCTTTAGCATAAAGACTTCATGCAGCTGGAAGCTTCCGGGGATTTTATCTTTGCAGGGTCAGGGCAAAGGCCAAATGTTACTCTCCCCTTTGCTCCCCCTCCCCTTCTTGCTGTTGCTGCAGTGACCAGGGTCATACAAACTTGGCTAAAGTGCTTGCACACTTGGTCACGGTGCTTGCCAGGAGTTGCATGCTTTACTTGTGCTGCACAGACTTGCTTGTGGTGTGCCAAGAGAGAGCACTGTGCGATGGCACCCAGAGCAGCCGGGCTCGCGTTCAGTGTGGGGCCGTGCTGAGGGCCATACTCCAGGGCAGCTGCTCTGCCACCGAGTTACCCCTGGCCCCCAGGTGTGCTCCATGTTGGGCTGCAGTCACCGTGTAAAGCATCGTCTTGCTCGCTGTCATTTCTTTTCTTTCTCAGTGCAGGTGACTGGGCCCAGGGCCTCGTGCGGGCAGTGCACAGGCTCTGTGGCCGAGCCCAGCTCTGCGCCTCATTTCTTCATCTATGAAGTTAAGTAATAAAGCCTATTTGGCGGGCTTGTCACAAAGGTTCAATTGATACTTTATGGCCTGGAGGAACCTCTTCTTGTGCATGGTCACAGGTTCAAATCCATGGTGCCCTACATGCCAATAAGAGTGGATCCTGGCAGATCTGTTGTCTTTGCTGCCTTGCATCACAAGCAGTTGTGGCCCGACTGTAGCCCTGGGGTTCATAAGTCCCACAGAAAGAGGTCCAACCTCTTGTCGAGCACCACAGCTCAAAAGATGTGTGAGCATCATGTCCATGAAGTGTGGTCCCCGGCAAGTATGCGTGCATGCGTGTGTGTGAACACCAATCAGAACAGCCTCTATTCAGTGTGCAGGACCCTGTGAACACCCCTCGTTGGGCACCGAGGCTGTGGAGTGAGCCCTGCACTCACACATGCCATCTCCAGGAAGCACCACGGCCAAAGCGTCGTGCAGTCCCTGGCCATCATAGGCACAGCAAGGGCAGGGTTGGAGGTTTGAGGTTACCGAACAGAGGCCAAAAAGGGAAACATTCCAGAGATCATGTTGTTTTAAAGTAGAAGTTCCTAGTGTAGCTGCCAACTGTACGGCAAGTTGCTGTTTAACAATAATGACTGCCATGAGCACTTAGATGCTATTGCATGTAATAGTAGGGGGTGGACAAAATGTCAGGATTGCTCTAGGAGAAAATTGAAACATATTTCACGTCTGTATAGAATTACGTTAAGCAAAGTTGATTATAAGCATTTGCCTTTAATCCTGTGGTGATTTCTCATATCTTTCAATGTACTTATTATTTTTTCATGTTTGTTTATTGTAAATACGTTTAATTTGGGGACTGGGGTGGCACACTCAGCAATGCTCAGGGCTTTTCCTGCTTCTGCACTTAGGTATCACTCCACCACATTCAAGGCAAGGGCCGACTTGCTATACTACCTCTGCAGCCCCCAAGTACTCAGTTATTATCAGTAGATTAGAAAATAGTAGAACCTGGGGATGAAGAGATATACAGCAGGTGAGGTGTTTGCCTGCATACAGCTGACATAGGTTCAAAACCCGGCATCCCATATGGTTCTCTGAGCACTGCCAGGAGTGATCCCTGATCATCACCAGATATGAACCAGAGAAGAAGAAAGGAAAGAAGGAAAAGAAACATTTAAGATTTTACTTAAATGTTTCCTTCAAAGCCTTCCAGGTATATTTATTAGCTTTCCCTCTATCTTTGGGCTGGAGCGATTACAGAGCAGTAGGGTGTTTGCCTTGCACGCAGCCGAATGGCCGAGCTGAGTTGGATTCTTCCGCCCCTCTCGGAGAGCCGGGCAAACTGCCGAGAGTATCTCGCCCTTATGGCAAAGCCTGGCAAGCTACCCGTGATGTATTCAATAGGCCAAACACAGTAACAGCAAGTCTCATGATGGAGATGTTACTGGGCCCGCTCGAGCAAGCAAATTGATGAACAACGGGAGGTCACTCTGTCTTTGAACTTGTTTCAGATTCTCCCTATTCTTAGTTGTGAAAATTAGAACTAATTGTCATAGCCCATTTTGACTTTAGTCAGTGGTAAGAATGGCAGATGTGGAGTATAGTACAGGGGCTATTTGCACCATGGGACCTTTGCACCATGCAGCTGATGCAGGACTTATCCCCATTACCACATGCTCCCTCAGGCTCTGCAGGGAGTGACTCCCTTGAGCACAGAGCCAGGAGTAGCCCCCAAGCACCTCCATGTGTGGTCCCCTCCCTGCATTCAGTATAAAAGACAGCAAATGTAGCACCTGTGTTTTATTTGTTTTTGTGGCAGAGCATGATCTTTGGGCCATACCCACCCCGTTTTCCGTCCATAATGAGCTTATTTATTGCATTGATAACCTACCTAAATTAAAAAAATAGAAGTGTTTTATGGGCCGGAGAGATAGTACAGTGTGTAAGGCACTGGCTCTGCGTGTGTCTGACCTGGATTTGATCCAGCATCTTATATGGTCCCCAAGCTCCTCCAGGAGTGATCCCTTTGCAGAGAGCCAGGAGTGGCCCCTGAGCACCACCGACTGTGGGCTACACTGCATCCCTACCTACAAAAAAGTTAAGTGTTCTGCATTTTTGTCAGTTGCATGCATTTTTATCTAGTTGTTCTTTGCTGCTGTACTCGATCCCATAGTATTCTGGTTTGGTTGTTTCTTACTTGTTAGTCCTTACTAAGAAATTCCTTTTTCATGGGGGCTGCTAGAGGAATAGCACAGCGGGTAGGGCGTTTGCCTTGCACGCGGCCGACCCAGGTTCGATTCCCAGCCTCCCATATGGTCCCCTGAGCACCGCCAGGAGTAATTCCCGAGTACAGAGCCTGGAGTAACCCCTTTGCATCTCCGGGTGTGACCCAAAAAGAAAATAATATAATAATAATAATAAATTCCAAAAAAAAAAAGAAAAGAAATTCCTTCTGTGGCTGGAGCAATAGTACAGTGGGTAAGGTGTTCATTTACCTTGGCATACGGCCGGCTTGAGTTCAATCCCTGGACCCCGTAAGTTGTCGTGTGTGTGTCCCCCCTCCCCCCAACATCATCAAGACTGATCCTTATGCAGAGCCAGGACTAAGCCCTGTGCATCACTGGGTGTGGCCCAAAGGCCAAAAGAGAAATTCTTTCTTATCTGATCTCCTAGCTGTTGATGT